GCCGGGGTATGAATAATTTATGTGTGAAATGGTAAATGAACTGTCCATTGAATTCATATTTTCTCAGTATTCGTTTCAACTCTCATGACAGAAAGTGGACTTCTGAGCAACTAATAAAGTTTGTTGAAAACCTAATTACAATGCTGAAGAACTGCCTTGACATTCCACAAAAACAGGAACAAACAACCAAAGTTTCTTCACTTGTGTGTAAGACAGGTCGTGTTTGTGGTTTAGGAGTGAACGCGGAGCAGCGTCTCCCCTGACACTTTATTACTGGCTCTTTTCTTTGCCGGAGCAACCGAGGCTGGGAGCCTGCCAGGTTGTGTTGCGGTTTCCCGGTCTACACTGAGTCATTGTGTTGCGCCGCTGATTGGGATGTTCCATGTTGTTCCTTCTTTTCTGGGTGAGGCTGTGTCCTGTTCTGCTCAGTTTTATTCAGTAATGTTAGTTATGCAGGCGTGGAGACACTGGCTGTCTAAGTAAAAACGAAGCATTGCAGACTACAAACATCAACCCTTTAGTTTAACATAGATTAATGTTCAATTTGTGATTACTGATATTAAAGTCAACCAAGAATTTAAAAGTTATGGTCTCAAAACTCCTGAAATATTCCATCTTAAAGGATTTTTAATGAAATAACATAAAAGGTGATGTGGTGAACAAAGCTGCCCCTCCCTCACCTATTGCTGTGCATTGTCAGACAGCTGGCTTATGAAGTTTTGATGTTCTGATGTGTATGGCCACAGATTAGTCTTAACCTTAAAACTATCACTAAGTGTAGCATTTACATGTCAAAAAGACTCAATATGAAAACATGATATTGCTGTTATGACTGTTAACCATTCATCCATCTCATCTTTTATCGAACACACTGATCACTAATGGGTGTCGCAAGAGTTGCCGGTGCCTGTTTCTAGCGGTCAACGGGCCGATACCGATACGTTAAAAAATGACTAAAAGGTCCGAAACCTATGTTGGTACCGATATTTCTGGCATCCTAATTAATCAGCAAAAACAGCAGTTTTTTTCTGTTCACTAAAAGTAATTAGATCACGTTTCAGAGTTTTATTTCTCAAAACTCTAAAACTATTGTGTTTTTTTTACTCATGTCATTGTATTCACTGAGAAATGTAATGCAGCCTTTATATCCGTGTATAATATAGCAAATTCTGCAGGGAGCAGCAGGGAGATCGCCAACTGATTAGGATCTGTTTCTGCTTAAAGCTTCCACAGACACATCCAGCAGCTTCTCGACTTCTCACCTTTTTTTTATATTCAACATGCTGACTGGAATTTAGATGTGCATAAAACACACACAGCTGCAGAACACAGCCCCATGTACATTCAGCAGGATGTTTCAATACTGCAAAACAACAACAACAAAAATGCATGCTGGCAGAGAGAAAAAAAATTATCCACAGCTTCTGATTTTGTCTGATTTTATTTTTATCTGTCCAACAGCAAGTAGAAAAGATATTTTTGTGACCAAACAAATCATGTGCACTAAATTTATTTGAATCATATTTATTGCTATTAGGATTTATTGTGAACATTTCTTATCTTAATAATTTGTATTGTTACATTTAGAGATTTCCATTAATGATATTAAAACATACAAAATACCATTTACTGACATTATTGGAAACGTTATCTTTACTATTTTCTCCGTAATTTGATCCACAAACATCAGTAAATGTGATAATATGATTAAATGTGGTTACTGTGTGCAGTTTAGTCATATAAATCACACTTCTGTAAGTGAGTAACAAATATATTTAAGTAGTTTTTCTTGATCATTTTATTGCCATCACAATAGTACCACAAAATATGATAAAATTCTAAATCCATATCATCCAATTTTTTAATTAATGTGACTTCTCAAAATGAACTAAAACTCCTTAACATCTGTCAGATCTGAATAGTCGCATTGATTTGTACAGAATTCTTACAAAATAAAAACTAGAAACAGTTTCATTGTGTTTACACATACATCAAACATGATGCAAAACATAAAAGCAACATTTATTCCTGCTGTTTATTGACTTACTGAATGTTGAATTATTGCTATTTTTATTTAGATTGTCAGACTTTAACAAAGGCATTGAATAAATCCCTGCTAACCTTAGTTTTTAAGTATGTCCATTTAAAAGTTGGACATGATTACACACAACAATTAAGTAAAAGATTTCACATTTCTATTACTCCATATTGATTTAATGCAGTGCTCACAGGTGTGTGAGCAGCTTCACATTCAGCAGCAACCTCCACCACCCACAGACGCATCAGAGCGTTCTCCACCTGTTCTCTCTGTCCTTTCTTTCCTGTGCGTGTGTGTGTGGGTGTGTGTGCGTGTGTGCGTGCTGTAGTGGACTCTGTTCAGAGCAGCGGGAGGAAGACAGCTGTCAGAGCTCACAGTCCTCTGCTAGTTTTGGTGAACAGGTGTGAGTTGGTAGAGTCTGTAGCAAACACGCTGTGTGCTTTGGCGTCCCCACCAGCTTTTACCGGATAAAGACCAGAAAGGTTTTCAAACACACGCTGCTCAGTAGAAGAAGAAAAAAATAAATCATATGCCAACATGGAATTAAAGGTCAGAGTAGGACTTATGAGCTAGAAAAGTAAGATTATTATGAGTTGAACTGGAAACAAGATAAAATCAAGACCACCTGCTGTAAAAGTAATACCGTACACGTTATTAACTACTGGTCTGTTTAATAGTATGTTTTAACCAAATATTGATGAAATATGTGTCTGATAATTGAGCAGTTTGTGTTTTGGTGTATAGTGGGATGTTAAAGACAGCATTGACCTCTCCGTTCCTCTTTATCCTAACCTCCAGTCAGGCCTGAATGTTTAGGTTTATGTAGGCGCTACTTGTCAGTCTGGCAGTGTGCAAATTGAAGTATTCATGAGCGTATACTGTTAGAATATTTGACATTGCTATTCGAGGTTTCTTGTTTTTGTGCCTTACTTTGCTTCCTAGCAAAGATGTTACTGCAGTTGGCTGTGTTTTCTGCTCTGAATCTTGACTGTGTGTGTGTGTGTGTTTTATTTTATTTTTTTTGTGAAAGTGTAAACTAACACAGATAATTTGTGAAAAGATTTATCTCCTCCACCTCGTCCCTGAGCTAATATTACATGTTTCTCCACCAAAAACATTGAGTCAGGAGGAGGGTCTTAGCGCTGTCAATCAACTTTGTGTAATTGCTGTTCAATGTGCTAATGGCAGAGAAACAACTTATCACAGGAAAATTGTTTATTCACTGTCATCAGTGGCTATGCTAATGTGCCTAGCATTCACGACAGACAGGAAGAAGCTGTTGTGTTAAAGAGCCGCCTCCTTGCTCTGATTGGTTGTTTCTAGTTGATACTACACAATGCCAATTTTAACAAATATGTAAAATCATAGATTTTTGAAAATGTATGTACTGCAACTTTAAAGATGCAATCCACTTGTGTTTTTTCTCATCTAACAAGTGGAGGCTAACAATAAAAACAAACCTGGGTAGTGACGCATGAATTTCAGTGGCACAAAATAAAATGAGAACATGAAGAATGTACAAATTCTCATATTTGCCGATGACATCACAAGAGGTGCTGGTAGACTGAGACATTCAACTCCCATTCCCGTTCTAATTCTCTTCCTAGACTGCTCCTAATTATTATCCTTTTCCGATATCAATGCAACACTCACATTTTCCCATGCAGAACACAAATAGACATCTTTTGAAGAAGTTTTGTGATGTAACCACAGGGATCTGTGCGCAGAAGCCTGTTTTACAGAAAGTACATGATCATCTTGCTTAAAACATCAAAAATAGTGAAACAGGACATGTTCCAAAGGAAATAAAGTGAGTTCAGCTAAATTAAAAGAAAAAAACAAAAAACAAATCTGCCTTGTAGCTTTAAGCTACTTCCACGTCCTGAAGGATGAGGACACAGACACTTTTGTAAATAAATAAATAAAAAGCTACTTCCTCTTGTGCTATGAGTTCACTGAATGCAAAATGTTCCCGAGAGACAAACTTCCACATCTTTAGGTCCAAATAGGCATCTGGAATATCGCAAAAACAACAAACTGGGTGGATGACCTCATCCAGCTGTTCCTGGCTGCTGGCTAAAGAAAGCCTGCTGGTGTATCAAGCTTCCTCTTCCAGTTTGGCCTGGGACACTATCAGTACATGTTCCTACATGTACAGAAAACCATGCAAGCACACTCCCCGCCCACTACTCCAGGACCTTGGTGCTGTGAATTGTGTGCTGATTTCTAGACATGCTTATTTGTGGTTCAATAAGGGGTTAGGAGTAATGGTGGGTGTAAACCTTAAAAAAAAAGGCTCACTGTGGGCTACTGTTAAAAAAACCATGTTGGTTTAAGGCCAATGTAGCTTAATGAGTGGAGCTGAATGTAGTTATTAAGCGCTGGGTTTGAAGTTTGAGGGCGGGGGGTGGAAACTGTTTAACATGATGAATTTAATTGAAATAGTGACTGCTGTCATGAACATTTCTAAAAGGGTTTTAAAAAACCTACAGGAAGTTCAACAAGTGTTCTGCTGTAGCTCTGTTTTTTTAGAGTGTTGTCATTTTCCCTTACTTGGATTTTTCTTCTAGTTTTTGACCTCAGAGCTTTTAAGGAGCAAAAGCGAAAGTTGTTAACGGTGCAGCACAGACAGCTTCATTTAGGACGCTTAGCCATCGATCCCGAAGGCTTTTCTCACCACCTCAGCTTGCTAGAAGTGTCTTCACTGCTTACTCTGTAGAAACAACTAAAAAATAAAACATGTTTTGACAGCATTGAGAGTTTCATTTTAACTGCTGAAGGTTGAGAAAATAATTTTCTGGTTTTGTCTGAGATTTTTCTCCTCCATTGCCAAAATTAGCATTTTTTTCTTGCTTCTGTGATTATTTTTTTTACCCCTCCAGGAAACCATTCACCACAAAACATTTATGTCTTTATTTTCATCCCGTGAGGTGTTCAAACTAGATATCACTATGCTTTTCAGAATCCTCGACGTCTTCGGCGTTCCCCAGTTTACCCCGCAGAACCAGCAGTTCCACCAGCTGTCCGTCATCCACTCACAGAGACTCTGGCAGTGACATTGAAAGCCTCCTGAATGCAGAGCCAGGATATGACAGCATCTTCAGAAAGGTCTGTAAAATTATGTCAAGGTTATGGGAAACAGCATTTTTTTCTTCACTAAGTGGAATATGTGAAGGAAATATTGTCCTGATGTGTTGCATTAAAGTGACCCAAAAAAAATCATTTTTTTTTCCCATGTTATAAGCGTACACTTCATTGAGTTTTAATAGGGTTTTATTAGACAGACTAATCTGGAGCTGTGCCATACTCTGTTTTTGGGTAATAAAAGAAAATTTTTCTGTTTCATAACCCATCCTTTCTTTAAACTTCCAAGGTCCTCATGGTGTTTCTTCACTCATGTTCCCTAATAAACGTTTTGAGGCCTTTTGGAAAACAGCTGGATTCAAGCTGATGCAAAGATATTTGACTCTATTTTTACCTATCTGAAAATTTGGTCCGATGTTGAGGTTGAAAAGCAATAAACACCTCACTGTCACATGACCAAACAAATATCACATGACCAATTCTTTCCCCTTCTAGAAACACACACACCGACTGAAACAAGGTAGAAACGAAGCTATTGTTGACATGGGCCCAGTTTTACTCATTGAATGGACACCAATATGTTAAAAATGGCCGATTTCGATACATCGTGCATCCAAATTGTTCAATAATAGGTTAATTTCTGAAGTCAGTTAAATTGGAGTTTTTTAAATGTATATTAAGCCTGTCACAATAACTTAAATTGTAACGATAAATTGTTCCAGAATTTATTGCAATATACATAATTGTTTTGAGACCATCTTCAGGTATTATAATGGTAATGACATAATAATGCAAGAAGGCATTTTCAAATTCCAACAAACATTTAGCACAAGAACTGGCAACAGAAATAACAAATAAAATGGATTATGGTCTTTCTGTAAACAAAATTATCCTTCAAAAAAGGACAATGTTGAGACCAAAAAACCAGACTTTGCTCTGAAAGTCTGGTAATGAGGGACTTGATGAGGGGAAAAAAAAAAGAAGAGAACTTCTCCCATCGCTGTACATTTCAAATTGAGAGGGAATCCGGTTTGAATTGGCAACAGAGGCTTTACGCTTTGGTGGCTGTGCTCCAAACATCAGGTTCGCTCATGTCGAACGGCAGGAATATATTTTTGTTTGCCTCTGCAGCTGTGCCTTTAGGGAATATCTTCAAATATGCAACACAAACACTGTTTCTCTCCGTCTGTGCTCATCGCCCTGAGGCTCAGACCCAAGACATCAACCGAGCATCTTTCTGTCCCTCTCTCAGCATCATATCTTTCCGTTGCTTCGAGCTCGTTGTGATGGAACTATGAAGTCCACGTGGCGCTTATCAGCGGCCTGCTGGTGTTTGGCCTGGGATGCCAAGGGGTCGGGACACGGCAGGCAGTGAGTGATGGGCGAATAGGGGTGCGCGGCTCGCCAGCTTTGATTTCAAACAAAGGCCGCAAAAGCTAAGTTCTGAAAGAGGAGGATTAGCGCCTTTGCTTCCCTCTGAAGAGAAAATGCCTTTTCTTTAGCGAGCTGCACTAGAAAAGGGATAAAAAGAAAGAGAGGACTGTTTCATAACTCTAAAGGCCATGGCATGGATCTCATTAACACGTTAGCACAGCGTGCATCATGTGCCCTTGTGGAAAGAAAGCGTAACATTAACTGTTGTGCGTGAGGGCATGAGAAAACCAGGAAAGCCTGAAATGTAAAAAATGCTTAATCCTATCCGAATCCTCCTCCTCGTTTTCCTCCCCAACTCCAAAAGCCGTAGCGCTTGCTGCGCCCCGCGTGCAACAAACCCAGACGTTCCCTCGCTTCCCAGAGGAAGTTGTTTCTGCGGCATAAAGCGGATCTTTCTTTTCCCAGCCCCCAACAGAAGCGGCTCTATGTTGGCGCTAACACCGCAGCTGGCAGCACAATAGACCGAGTTAAAGCTCACACCTACGAATTAGCTCCAAAAGAACCTGTGAGTGTCGGCGCAAGAGCGCGTTCCCACCCCATCGCAGCTCAAAACTTTCTGCAGCGTCTTCATTAGGGAGTGAACACAACACGGTTTCTTTCCTGGCTGCAGCAGTCTTGCGACTTTGACAGTGTCTGTGTGTGTGTTTGAGCAACATCTGTGAAAGCTTTGTTTTTTGTTTTTCCTTTTTTTCAACCCCATCATCTAATGGTGTTTGTTATAATGTCAGTGTTGCTATAAAGTGGCTGTTGCTCGTTACGCTTAAGCCTTGCCATTTGGTCCTCATTACGCTCCATTCCTGTGGGTTAAATTGCTCCTCCAGCCTTCTCTAAATTCATAACATGCTTCAGCGAAGAAATGCTGATGTATATATAATGTGATAGCCCAGGTGATTAGAAGTGATTTGATGCGCATATGTTTTATTTTTCCATTTTGCTTCATTTTATTGTTTCCTGCATGAAAATCTGGGCGTTTTTTTGTGTGTGTTAGTTTTAAATATTCCTTCATCAATGCTGTTCTTGAGCCAGAAAGAAAATGATCTTTTTTTTTTCTGTTTTGTGCCGACAGCTTTATTCTATTTCGAAGAGTTTGTCACCATCAATGTAACTCAAAAGGAAAATTGCCAAGTAAGATATTGAAAGACAAATCCGTGCAGAACAGGCGTCCTCTGTAGAGATTTCTCAATCAACACATTGTTAGCTCTCAGCAGAAGGTGTCAGCTTTAAGGATAAATAAAGCACCCACACACAGGCTTAGCGGTTCTCATGCTAGGGTGTGTTACAGCTCACCTTGAAGTCTATCTTGATTACACAGAGGCCTGTTAGCAGTATCGAGGTAAATCAGCTCTTTCACAACTGGAAAAATTTTCCATCTGTGCTTGCAAACAGTTTAAAGTGCTTTGGATGAGATACCTCGTTATCTGGAGCGGCTGCAGGTTACTTTGGTGTGTACTGCTGATCAGCTGGCTGAAAGAAGGCTTCTTTGCTTTTCAAGGATTTGAAGGAGCACAAATTTAGGTGTTTGGAAGTACTTCCTTGTTGTTTTAGAGCAGTGATTCTCGTCAACTTTCTATAGATAAACTCAAAGCAGAATGGCCTCATGAGCCGAACTGTTGGTTCAAACATTTCTATAAAAGCAACAATGGAGTGGCATCAGATTTTAGTAGGATTTCTTCTCTTGTCTTTGGTAAAAGACCACAGGCCATTTCTCTGACTAGCTCTGAACTTGCGCGTACGTCTTGATATTATTTACCCAGAATGCCCTGCACTATAGTTGGCTTCCTGCTTTCGGAGCAGTCTCCAGTCCGCATGGCGTTCATATATACATTTGAAATGCACCAGATTTTACTTCGACCCAAACTGAGACAGAGGATTTTAGACAGATTTGTGGTTCACCTCAGAGTTCAATTGGACATTCACACTTCCCCAAGCACACTGGACTTTCTTGACAAACCAATTCAAGTTGGATTAAAGTGGACTAAACAGGTCTGGTGTGAAGGAACAAAGATGTTTGATGCTAAAAGCTGTCTTTTCCTTTTTGGATGTCTGCAGAACGACGAGCCGGTGACGGGAGGAGACAGCACCAGCGAGGTCTCCGTCTCTTGCTCCTCCACAGACGACACCGCCAGTGTCGGCCCGTCCAGCTCCAGTCCGGAGGGCAGCCAGGGCCTGAGCTGGAGCCCAGAGGAGGGTATCCAGTCTGAGGCTACCAACACTGAAGGCCAGGATCGTCCTGCTGTTGCTGGAGGAGGACCAGGAGGAGCAGGGGACGCTGAAGAAGAAGCAAAAGACAGAGTGAGTGAGGTGCCGCGGCGTTCCAGTCTCTTCAGGAGCAGCAAGCGCTCTCTGTCGCCGCTTCGCCGCCACAGCTGGGGTCCAGGGAAGAACAACGGAGGAGAATCAGAGATGAACCAGAGGAGGTGAGAATTGGAAGGAACTCATTTAGATTATAGACTCACCGATTATTCTGTTCCCACTGGTTTCCTGTTTCCAAAGAGGTCTGTCATCCTGATTGGGATTTGCACTCGTTGTGATTTTGTTACATAATTTGTGACACTTAACAGAAAATATAAAAGCACCTAATCTCATATTTGTCAATCGAAAGAGATGGAAAAAAAATTTATTATTGAAATTCCTGATCACAATTCAGGGCCAATTCAGAAAAAAATGGACAATTCCAGTGTCTTGCCAATTTATTGGTGCATTCCCAATCATTTTACCAACCTGTTGGTGTTACTGAGTTTCAGTCAGCAGGTGTCACTAGACCTGATGTCTCCAGAATCAAAGGTTGTCATTATTAAAGTTTGCTCATGTCATCTCCTTTGCACACTTTGTAGTGTAATAATGCCTGTTGCCATTCATCAGGAAGCAGTTTACACAGAGAGACACATACATACAGATGAAACCCGGTGTTCACATACACTGAATAAAAAGTAACACGTTTTTATTCTCTCACTGCCTGAAGTTAAATCAGACCAAACTTCTTTTGTTTTAGGTCGATTAGGATTACCAGTTATTTATATTTGCTAAATGCAACAATAATGAGAGAATGCGTCAGAGATCAGTGTATTTATGTCTTCAAAATGAGACATTTAGCATATGAAATAAAAACTTGACTTAGCAAATAACAATAATTTTAGTGATTCTAATTAAGCAAAACCAAAAGAAATTTGGTCTGATTGAAATTTAGACAGTTGTTATATTTAAACTTCTGGTTTTAACAACTTCCAATTAACAGAAGATGCCAGGTGGTTTCTCCCACTTAGGAAAAGGGTCATCATATTTTTGAAGTGTTATTTGTTTTATCTTAAAAGCATTCATACAGGATTTTATTTCTTTTTTCAAAGCAAAGCATTAGTGAAAGCAGAAAAAGATCAGAGGAAGGTCACCAAGATTTGACATTTGTTGCAAAGATGCTAATGAGACAAAGCAAAAATCTTTCTTCACCTCGAAGGCTGACAAACACAAAACACCCAGATCATAAAAAAGCAAACATCCAGGGCTAATCTTACAAATTCTGTGAAGTTTTTGTCTCAGACCATATTTGTACATCCTGCTGCTTTCGTTTGGTCGAATCTAACTAGAATTATATATTGCAAAGAGTTTCTTGGAATCGTCATGATGTATTTCTCACAAAAAGGTTGACACTGACATAGCATTGTGTCAATAAGCATCTACATCCTCACACCGTCTGACTGTCTGCGTGTCTGCACAAATAAGGCAGAGCAGCGAGTGGTGCTTTCCTCACAGGCAGACCGACGGTGACAGGAAATGATAATGGTACTTGTAATAAACTGTCCGCAGGGACGCAGTCAGCAGCGCACTTGTGTATGAATTGTAATTCTGGGCAAGAAATTCATTAAACCATCCCTGACTGCCCTATATTAGGCTTTTAGATATCTATATATTTAAATTTGACTTAAGAGTCATTTAGAAATTAAACCACTTCATTTGCAGTGAAAACTTGCACATAAACTGTGAAGAAACTTTTTGGCTTTAGATTTCCCTCCTCTTTAGCGTCTGTTTTTACATGATTGCTTAAACACCCCAAATCAAGTTTCCTGATCCCACTTAATTGGATATTTATTTTTTATTTTTTGAAAATTAAAATAGATTAGAATTCACTAGAAGTGGAGCAGGGGAAAAAAGGCTTAATTCTTACAAAAATGTATCAGGCATACCAGGATGCACGTGGATTAATACATTAAAAAATAAGAGGTCTTTTCCTGCAAGGCACCATTAGAGTGTCACTTAGATGAATAAGAAGCTCTCACCGGCAGCGGATTAGTTTGACATAAAGAACAGAAATCCACCAAAAAACATCTCTGAAGCTCATTAATTCTAGATTAAAGGTGTTTGTGCTATGCAGGGGGGCCATGCTGATAGCTATTTATTGGCTTTATGCAGCGAGCTTCTTCCTCACGGTAGAAGTTGGCGCTCGGGACAGATTTCAGAGAGTCGCTGCTCTTGGTATGGACGTCTTTCAGGCTTTCACATCTGTTTTCACGCTAATTCAACTGTTCCCTGGCTGAGGCCTCTCGTGTATCAAACAGATGTGGGAATGGTAGAAGTGAAAACGCACCAATTAGTTGGAATTGTCCAATTTTTTCCCCTTGATTTTCTGAATAATTAGACCTTTTTTTTTCCCCTCCCCAATGCTTTTCCCCATGCGAAGCATTTAAATAAAGAGACCAACATATGACGTAAACAACTCAACCCACTGCATGTACTCCTTTGATGCTGTTACGTGACTTTGATGTGATTAACCATTTACTTTGATGGATTAATGGTAAAAAAAAAAAAGCCAACAAAAAAAAAAAACTGGCAAATCTTGTATTTCTTTATTATGCAGGGTGTCTGTGCATCCTTAAAAGGTCTTAGTTTCCTGTATCAAAAACGAAGGCCTTAAAATGTCTTAACATTTTTTAATTTTTTTATTTTAAATTCAAGTCGGCCTTAAATACGTTAATCACAGACCATATGTTTTAGGATGAAGGTACTATTTAATCTGGTATATTCTCTTTAATGTAGTTTTGTTAACTCATGTATCTAAAATGAAGGTCTTAAAATATCTTGAATTAATTCATAAAATGTAAGTTGGCCTTAAATACGTTGACCACCTCTTAAATTTCAGTACGAAGGGACTATTTAATCTCGTATATCCTCATAATTTTTTTATTTTATTTATTTTTTAATTCATGTATCTAAAATGAAGGCCTTAAAAAGTTTTAAGGCTTTAATATTAGCCGCATAAAAATAATCTAAATTGGTCTGAGATATGGTAATCACAGATCTTAAATTTTAGCATGCGGTGACTGTTTAATCTCATATATGTCACTTTTTTGTGAGGCAAACATTTTAGTCACTGTCGGACATCTTAAATGCTTTCTGAGTCTCAAGGCAGTTCATGCTGCCGCTACATAGGCTACCTTGCTAGCTAGCTGTTGCGCGTCTGTCTGTCATGAGCTTGATGCGAGGGGAGAGACGATACAGCTATTGCCACTCGAGGTGAAACCCAACACAATGAACGAGATGGCAGCGATCAAAGATGATCATATTTCAACTTTCTGTGTTGTGTTGCTAGCTGTCATTTTCACATTACATTACAAGTCCAGAATTTTGCATGAACAAATGCCATCGGCCGCTTGGCTGGAAGAGGGCTACCAGTTGTCGCCACATCATGCTATTTCTATTTTGTCACTTCTTGTGTGTGGAGTTCAATCCACATGAGAGCAGATGCATTTTCTGCAAAAGAAAAAAAACCTTCTATGTTTTGCACTATGGGGGTTAAGGCTGTAGAGTGTCACATAGAGTGTGAAAAGTGCAATCTCCCAGAAATTTCACAGTTTTTGCTATGCTTGATTGTAAAACACCAACCACCCTCTATATTTCTATTTTTTATTTTTTTTGGGGCTTAAATTTTGTTCAAAATGGCTTTAAAATGTCTTAAAAAATTTTGAATTTGACTTGCTGAAGCCTGCAAGTGTCTGTGAGTCCCTGTTATTATTATGTATTTTCTCATTTTGTGTGTCAAATCCTTAAAAAGGATTCAGTTAAAATTGGGACGAGACCTTAATGCAGACTAAATGAGCCCAGAAATGCTTCCCCAGAGCACCTGCAAATGGACGGCGTCCCAACTCTTAGGAAACAATTGCTTCCAAACAACTTTCCATTTAGGAACATTACGTTTTATTCTTTCTTTTTTTTCACCAAGCACAAAAATCTCTTCTGCTCCAAAACACTCAACCTCTCATCATGCTCATCTCTTCCACGCTGTTCTCTCATATCACAATTCATCTCTCCCATCACGCACCACTTCCTGTCTCTGTTTCATCACCCCCAGCTCCATCCGTAGCCCTGGTGAGGGGAAGCCGGCCTTTCACAGGAGAAGGTATCTGACGTGTTGTCGGGATTCATTTGTTGTCTTCATGTGGACTGTGTGAAGATTCTGCTTTTCTAACATCTGCTTGCTGCTACCACTACCGCTTTATGCTGCATCCCTGCAGGCGACTGTGCTGAAGAATGTTGCTGTCTTTTTCACCCCTGCTGGAATGTGCATCAAGCACCATAGGGCAAAAAAAAACTGTGGCTGAACCTCGTCTCTTTTCTTTGGAAAAAGTGAAGTGAAACTCTGCAGGCTCAGCTGCATGGCTCCAGATCGAGAACGGAGTTGTGTTTTTTAAGTTCCTGGAGGGATTTCTTGGAGACTATGAAGGCGTCAGAAAGGTTTGGAGTGCAGTCCTGGAGGAGAAGATTCTGTGCCACAGCAATAAAACCCCGAATGGAAGTTGTTCAAACTGTAAAATAACGTCTACCTGCACTTTTGCCCAGTACAGGGTAGGAGGAAGCAACAATGAAGGAACCAGCTTCTTTCTTCGTTATTATTGATCGTACAAACCAGAGCGGAGTTTTTTCTAATATGTTGGCTCAGTCAAAAGCTAGTGCTGGATACATTTTGACTGAACAACCTTTTTATAGTTTTTCCAAAGTAGATCATTTAAATAAAAATGATCTGAACTGAAGGTTTTGTCAGACGAGGGCTGAAACGATTAGTTGGATTAATCACAAAGAATCAATTATTTAAATAATTGGCAACTAATTTAGTCACTGATTAGTTTGTATACAGACTCAAAAAAGATAAGTTGCTCAAAAAAATTAATATATCCAGAGCCATAACTAAACCAAAACTGTACAAATATGAATACATTTTGTATTTAAGATGAAAACACAGTTGTCTGCAAATAGATTTTAGCCAAAACGCCTCAATCAACTTCACCTGGTTCAGATTTATTAAAGGAATCCTGTGTTGTTGCATTTTGGGCAATAAACTGATTGTTTTCCTATTTAAAAAAAGGAATTGAATTATTTGTTTGCATCTTAAGTTTTTATACAATTAATTAATTGTCAGAATAATCGACAGCCAAATCGATTCCTAAAGTAATTGTTAGTTCTAGCCCTACTTTTCTTTTGGCATTAATCTATCAAATTTGGCCACTCAGTTTTCCCTCTTGCAGAGTGTGATAAATCCAGATATGGACACACATTAGTAATACCATCTGCCAGGTTCTAATTAAGACATGTGTCACATTGTAGTAGGTCGCTGAGGCAACCATATGGCCACATCTGTCTCGCTGAACAGTCGGGGCTGTTCAGCCGGGCACAATAAGCCTGGTTCCTGGCATATTGTGGCTTTATTGTCGGAGTTAGTTTGATTTTTCTTTTGCATTCTGTACCGTAAACAAGTACAGAATGCACCCCTGGCAAATCTTTCTTGATTTGCACCAGGAAACAAGTTGCTGTGCCCAATCTGGACTGTTAATTGACTAAAATGTTCTCGTAAGCGTAGACAAAGAAGATGGAGCAGTTACTTTGTTGTCCAGCAGAAACAATAAAGTTGCAACTCTTAATAGATTACTTTTTTCAAATAAACACGAACAACTATTTTAGTAATTGATTATTCTGTGATTTTATTAACCAATAGAATAATCAAATGAATCGATTAATCACCAATAAATTGCATGTTTTGCAAATTTTTCATATAACCACTAAAACAATACTGGGAATATATTGAATGATGCTAATAAACATAGAAATTCCTTTTTAAAGTAAGACATTTTATTGCCTAAAATGCAATACCTTCGCATTCCTGTAGTGAGCGCTTGATCATTTGTAACAAAGGAAGCATCTGCAGCCAAAAACAATGCTTCAAACATCAAAGTTCAGCCTGTTCTGCTTGACCTAACATTAATACAGTGTGGATAAAAGGTTCTTTGTAGATGTTTTTTCAACAAAATTCTAACCAGATTAAGTTAAAACTATTCTGCTTCAGGACGAAGGCTTACAAACTTTTTTTTAATTTCTTAAATTCCAAATGTATGTACATATTTATAGAATTTTTTAAAACGTGTTCTTTCAACAAATTCCTTTTTTTAAAAGTCCGAACACTCCAGATGACGACTAATCAATGACTCAATTAGTTGACGGTTATTTCAATAATCGGTTATTCGCAATTGATCCGATTAATTGTTTCAATCCTAATGTGTGTGAATGTTTTTGCATGTCTCCTCGAAGACGACACTTACATGCAACTTTAACATTCAGTCCAGCCAATCATAGTCTCCTCTTGTATGTTTATGCTGTAATCTCTCTCATCTCTTGCCTCTTTCCCTGTGTGCTTTTTTTTTTTATTTGTATTTTTTTTCCACTTCCCACTTCCTCATTGCCCCCTCGATTCCCCAACACAAAAACAAAAACTTCTAACATCTCATCTGTTACTCTGAGTCGGCTTGGAACACGACCGCTTTTAAATGATGCACGTTTACAACCGACTCAATTTGCATGAGCCGTTGTTATGGGCGTGTTTTCCTTTGTGTGCAACTTCAGCCCCGTCAGTTCCTATTGCCACAGCAGAGTCTGCAGGTGTTGGTCAGGATGAAGGAACTTCTGGGTCTGTAGGGGTGAGTATCCGGAGCCAGGACAGAGGTTTCAACGTGACAGATATAGCCGTCCGCCTTCCCGACCCCGAGGATTACCGGGCCGGTCGCCAATGATGATGATTCTTTCAGTCCAGCCCTCGGTCAGTGATGCTAGAAAGCGTCAGGACCGGTGATTTGCTGGACACCGTGGAGCCCACACTGCCACCAGAGAGGCTGGAGGAAAAGGGGAGAGAGAGAGATTTACTGAAGCAGACCCAGACGCAGCTTGCTAGCATAGCTCATTCTGAAATGTAGCTGTAGTTTTCCTCCCCATAATCATTGCATTGGATTTTTTTTTCAGGGCCTCTCATTCGCAGTCATAGATTGATGTAATTGGGGTTGTAAATCACAGCTGCAGAGCCCTCCGCACCGATGCCGATGTTGGAAGTCATTTGCAGCTGCTTCGCCTGTAAATCTGCCCCAGAGGCCGGCGATAACTCAGCTGACTAAACACTGTGCAGAGCCCAGCTTTATGTGTGTGTCTGTGTGCGTGCGTGCGTGTCTGTCTGTGTGTGACAACAGGTGCATGCATTCATTTCAGTGTACTGCAGGAATTGTACGTCTCCAGAAAGATGTGATGAATAGTTCTGAGAGACCTGGAAGAGTGTGTTGACATGTCGGGTTCTGTGTGTTTCTGTGCAGCTACAGCTTAGAAGGGCTCAGTGGGATCCAGGAAGAGTTGAGGGGCTCCACCATCCAGGAGCCCCGCGACCTTGAGCGCTCCAGGATGCCCCGATACAACAGCGACGACAGGGGCTCCCTGGTGTCTCTGACGGAAGAGCAGGAGGAGCGGGAGGAGGACAGCAGGCTGCAGGAAAAGGTCAGTGCTGAAACACACACGACTTGCATAACGGTGTCCAAATCCGATGTAGCGATCCGATCTTTACAATTAGATCAGTCGCACCATTGAAAACAATTCTAGATTGATTATTGATGACACATGTGCCCATCAGGTGAGATCTTGTCATCCTAATTCTATGCTTTGTGCTCTGAGTGGCATTGTTTTATTATTTATTTTACATTGTATTTAGAATTGTTAATTACACTTTCGGAACCATTTGAAAGAAGATTTGTTGCAGTTCATTTATTTCATCAATCTGACCTATTTTTTAGTCGGTTTAAGTTTCTTTATTATTTATTCTACATCGGCCGTTTTACTCCTAATTGTGTTATTTTTACATGTGTGACCAAACCTGTGAAGATATCGGTGTATTTAGCAGTTCTGGTGCAGAGTAATCAAATAAATTAGCAATTAGGTATATTTATATCTGCGTAAAAAAAAAAAAAAGGAACGTTTTAAATCAGTTCTGCCCTGTTTTTCTGTATCAGATCAGCTGACTCTAATCCTCAGCTATCGGTACAGGAAGTCAAAAGAGTGAATCGGTGCATCCCTGTTATTGTTTTCAACTGAGCCTTTTAAAAATGTACAGTGTGGATTCCTTTCTTTTGATGACACAGACCTGCTGAGCCCGTTTAATGTTTTGGATCTACAGTGATTTATATCCTACTTGACTCATTTAAGCTATTGCTACTTAGTTTATCATTGAGTGGGTTAAAAAAGGTAACTTTTTTTGCTTCCATTTTAGCCTTTAGTCTTTTGTCTTTCGACCTGATGATTTTTGCTTATCTGACAGTGTTTGGACACTCCTGACTTAGACTTTTGTAGTATAAACTTTATGAAATTCATCGGAACAGATAAAGATTTTCTAAACAAGGCGGGGAAACGTCACTTTGGGGATTAGTGAGAACTACTAATCATCATTGTCCTCTGGTTGTTTGATTCCTCCTCACTCTCAGTAACTTTTAAGCAAATCATGACCATAACCATCATAACTCAAACATCCAGTTTCCCCTTTTAGTTTATCGTTCCTGTTTCTAGTTCATCTGCCTCTGTTTGCGTCCTCTCTGACATTTTCGCACTGCCGATCTGATGGAAGCTTTGTATTTCACGACGCAGAAATTGCGGCGGTATCGGCCGCTGAGGAACAGCTGTCCCTCAATGACCCTTCCACTCACCAAGTCCGTTTCCATGGTCACCATCAGCCATAAAGACAGCGATGGTGAGTGTTTCTCCTCACGTCGGGTTCACACCTGAGTTAGGATTTCTTTGCCCTTTCCTTAGCTTTTCAGCCTCTTTTCCTTCTGTAGGTTGATTTCTTTTTATCTTTTTATTTCCATCATTTAAAGACAGTATAACGCTGTGTGTCTTTAAATCACTAAGTATTTTGTTTTGAAAATCACTTCCTGTATCATAACCACTTAGACTTGCCCACATTTCCTCTGTTCAAAACTAAAAACTTGAATGTATTTCATTGGACTTTTATTTGGTAGAACGCAACTGAAGTGGCAGGAGACATGATACAAGTTAAGATGTTTTACAAATAACAATATTTATTTGTTTGTGTTCATCAACTCTGATGTGAATTTTACATGTGAAGTTTACATTCAGAATAATGTTATCTCCTGAAACGACTAGAAGAAGCCCAGAAGATGATGTCGTGACTTTGGAAACTTCTGATATGTTAACTGACACATTTGAGCTAATTAGAGGCACACCTGTAGTAACATCAAAAGACGTAATGCAGGGAGTTAAACTTTGGCATAAATGGGTCTTCCAAATGGACAATGACTTTAAGCTGTGAAGCCAAAGTGGCTACAAAGTGGCTTAAAGACAACAACATGGATGTTGTGTTGTGGCCATCGAACCAGCGCAAAGATGCAGTTCAAAGACAACGCTACCAAATACTGAGGGACTGTATGTAAACATTTTTCTTCTGGCATTTAGCAAGTAGAAATAATTTTGGTACAGGACCCACATTTATTGTAAAGGTTCTGTAAAATTTCCGAAAATGCATTCAGTTTTGTGGGTGTAAGTTGAAAAAAACATAGAAGAAAAACCCAAGAGGCAAGACATTTTAATTAGAAACAAACTAAAACTGACTTTATATTTAGGTTACCGACACGTATGTGGATTTCTAAAATAAGATCCGCCAAGAATACACCAACTTATTAGCGGTACCACAGTTACACGCTTTGAGCGAATGATGAGTGCTTGTTGTGGTTCCTCCCTCGTTGCCGCCGTCGCCCCTCCGCCTCCCAGCAGTGGGATGCCTGAGACGCAAGAGGCGCATTTCCTTCTCTTTCAACCTGTCCCCCATCCTCACCAAATCTAAGACTCAGTTCATTTACGGCGACTCTTCGTCAAGTGACGATGAAGAGGAGGAGGAGGATGACTCGAGTGAGTACCAGACGGCAAACGTAGAAACTAGATGTTTTTTTTTTTTTCAACCCACAGCAGTCGCGGTTCCTAGTAGAGCCCTAGAAACCTGCCTCCTCCTCTCTGTTAACCTCGCCTCCTCCTTGCTGGCGACACCTGAGTGTAATGAACCATGATTAAAAACTGCTTTTCCCACCTATGCAGGTGTAGGGTCAGGGAGGCTTCTCCTCTTTGAAGGAGTCGTAAAACTGTCTGGAATTAAGAGAGGCTGAAAAAAAAATCAAACAAATTTAACATCAACCTGAGTTCAGTCCTCTGGGTTTTCATCATTTTCCTGTCCAGTGTAGGATTGGCTGCGCTAAAACAACGCTGAAGGCAACGTGGCGGCTGATTGAGCCGCAGCACCAAACATCAGTCAAAAGGAGAATACTAATTATTTCTCATATAAATCTACTGGCGGTTCGATCCTTGATGGGAGGAGGAAGAAAAGCAAACCTGCTCCTTTTGTAAAATGTGTGCTGAATACATTATGCTGATAAATTCTGTTTGGCCGTGTTGAATTGGACCTTGGCTGCTTCTGTCACATGCAGACAGTGGCAGCATGACCTTTCCGTGAATTGGCCTTTGGTTTCGTCTCTTTTTCAGAAGAAAAGAAAGAAACTGGAGCAATATTACGAGATAAAAGAGGAAAAGCACCGTCAGAGGTGCTGCAGGTTATCTGAGAATAAATGTGGGCCTGTCTTCTTCAGACCAAACCTTCATCTCTCTCCTCTACTCTCTATTACCATTGCTGTTTTCTGTTTTGTCTTGCTTACTCTATCCTTTAAAGACTTTAATGTGCTGTACAAAACAAGAATAATTATTTTGAGAGAAGCTGAATGTTCCTCATTTAAAAATTACTGGAATAATCAACTTAAAGCCGTTTGCGATCATATGGATTTATTCAGATACAGACATATTTGTTGGCATGCATGACATGCATTGTTTTATTAAGCAAATAAATTTTTCTGAAATGTCAAATTGTGTTGTCTGAAGGAACTGACATGTAACAGAGGACGGGAGCAAAAATTGGTTAATACAAAACAATAACAGCTTTTCAGATGTTAATTCTTTCTTAACATTTTTTTTACAACATTGAATCAATGTCATCAAATAAAAAGTTTGTGAAATTACACCACCACAACAAAAAGTGGACATTTTTCCAGACTGTTTGCAGGTTTTCAACAGTGGCGACAAATTTAGAAAAACTCCAGACGGCTATGCGCTCGCTAGAACTCTGTGTGACAATCTGAACCGTCAAAATGAATCTTCAATATTTAAATTGTTTTGGATGTATTTCTGAAGCTGCTCCCCTTCGGAGCAGCCGGAGAGTTTTTGGAGCCGACGGCCTTTTGGGACTGAGTGTCGCTGAACTGAAAGGCAGACTGCCTGCAGCTCTCAGCCTCGGCCTCTCCATTAGCGCGTTGCCCTCGCTCTGCAGGGGGTTCCTAGAGGCTAAGCAGCTCACTTTCAAGCATTAGAAGTAGCTCAGTCCGTGTCCCGGCCAAATCCTCGCAGCTAGGACATGACCTGACAACCTTCAGCTCCAGTGCAAATAAATGTTTTGCTAGTCAGCCAGTATACTCAGCAAAGGATCAATCCTGCTCTGTCCTGCTCACCTTTTTTAAAATACATTTAAAAAAATTATTTCTAATAATGAATAAAAGAGTTCTGCTTCTCACTTTCTGTCTTCTCTCCTTTCAGGCATGAGGTTGTTTTCCAACCCCTCTGGGTCAGTAGCTTACAGGTCAGTTCACACACATTATGAAGAAATCCTTCTTTAGGTTTTTTTTTTTTTTCCTCTACACCCACGACGACCTTTACGGTTCCTGTAAAGATTAGCCGTGGAGAAGCGGCCGACTGGACCTTTATGGCGTCGTAAAGACGCGTCTGAGTGAATGTGTGAGCCGCAATGTTGCGTAGGCTGCAAAGTAACGCTGACCTGCGTTTCAGTATATCGGAGGAAGAGCCGGGGCCTCTGCGGAGCGACACGGAGGGGAGGAACACGACCAAAGTCAGCCGGACCTTCAGCTACCTCAAGAACAAGATGTACAAAAAGACGCGGGTAAGCAAAATGAATGACTACCTCGGCGCGTGCGGATGACCTATTTTTAGTGTGTGTGTGTTTGGGTAGACCATAGCCACCCCTTTTAAACAAAGAGCAACGGAGCAGCAGGTTGCTTTTCGGGCTCCGCTGCGGTGCGTCCACATTCACCCAGGGATCTGCTTCCTCTTCTGAACAGCTGGTAGTTACGTGTCACGCTTCAGGGCTTGTAACTTCCTCCTGTTCACACTTCCCCAGCAGGCGCTGCTTTTGGAGTTCACAATTCATTTTGTGGTCCCGGATATACGAGTCTCTGAATGGAGATGAGCTCTGGGTTACCGTTCTTTGCCTTGGGGAGAAATAACTTTTCAAGGCGTGATGAGTAGCATTTCAGTCACACCACTGCCATAAACTGAGCTGTATTTTATTGGGATTATGTGAAGGAACGACACAAAGTAGGACACAACTTGCCAGCTTCTGTCTCCTGATGTACAAAGATGTATAAAAAATCTTTGACCCTGGAGGATTGAATATATCTTCTTGACACACCTGTCAGATTTTTATTTGTAGAAATAAAAAGTTGATGACCATTCCCTTCCACTTCACAAATATGCAGTACTTTATTTTGGTCTCTTTAGAAAACAGAAAATGATTCATTAAATCTATCAATTGTAAGCATCACAGAAAAAAAGTAAAATTTTGTGAATGTTTCCCAAAGCACTGTAAATAAACTTTTTCTGAGATATAAAAAACATTTTAGATCAATAACACTCTACTTTAAAGAAGCCATTATAAAGGGCTATGCTAGTTTCATTTGAGACTTTTTAAACTGTGGAATGTTTTTGAGGAATTCAACACATTTTCATGTTTTCTAATCAATAATCTTATTTTGGAGGGCAAAGATAAAACATGTTTTGTTATATTTGTTCTGATTCTGTCATCACTTCTCACAGGGCCCTCATTCAATCACATAGGAGGAATGTTAAATCACAGATTACCTCATGGTTTTTTCTTGTTGCACAGTACGGGAATTATCCTCAACAGGAAATGGCGTTTCCTGCCTCTTACAATGCACAAATTTGAAAATGATTCAATTATAAATAATTCTAACCCACACAATTCCTGTCACCCGTATCTTGGCGGCGCTGACATCACCCGGGGGGGTTCAGATGTGGCGTTCAAATGAAACAAGGCAGTTTTTAGCAATCTCTGCCTTCGTGTTTCTGTAAAGCCGCCCCCCTTTTACCGAGACACCAATTGGTGAACAGGAAGTGAAAGAGGAAGACAAAAACTTGCTGTAATGTTTTCCAACCTCTGAACTGCACTTTGCTTTTAATGTGACAGGACCCCAAAAGGTGCTGCCTCTGCCTGTGGTTGGGATGAAAACAAATCATCCACAAACCAAAATTGTGTTTTAATTCCGTTTCAACTCCGTGTTGTTGTAACAATTATTGTGACGATTCTGCCAAACCTCGTCGTCATGTCAACCATTCTCCTCTGGTTCAGTTGCGGTCAATCTTTACTAGGCTTAAAACCCTTATAGCCTCTCAAGGCTCTGCTCTTGTGCACGAACACCGAAAGTGAGTACGTCGGTGGAAGAGGATGTAGTCGCTGCAGCCTGCAACAGCGTCCGCTCTGCACCGACGGCTCGTTTTGCAGAAATAGCACCTCCTGCTGCGCAGCAGTCACTTCCTCTTTGCCCAAGTTCCTGATGGAGCCTTGGCTCTGCCGGCTGTAGACCGTGCCCCTCGGGCCACAGACCAGGGATGTTGTACGGGAGGTTCTCGGGGAGCCGCGGCTTCTCGCTGAGAAGGAAAGGTTGCCTGGAGGTAGGCTGAGAGAACCGCTCTGCTTTTCCAGTCACATGGCTTTAAAAAAAAAAGAGAGAAAATGTTTAGTGGCTGTCAGAAGATCATGTTTAAAGAGTTCTGTTCTGTGGCAGCTTTTCTTTTCTTCTTTATTTTCCAGTGAAGTCATAGTCTGTTACTTCCTTTCTTACACTAGAATGTCTCTTTGTTTTCAATCTGCGCTGTAGACGTCACAGGCTGTTATGAGTCTTGTGGAGGTTTCTTGTAGCCAAAAACGTCTCACATTCCCTCTTTTTTTTTTTTAGATTTCTCTGCTTCAGCAAGTAGATTTTTTTCTGGATTTTCTCCTAAAAAAGGGGTTTCCGAATGCCTCAAAGCTAAAAATCATAGATAAAATCTGCGAGAGCTTTTTATTTCTGATCTGACAGTTGTTGTTGCAGGAAGTAAGAATTGAATACAATTGTGTTGCAATAGCTCCGAAACACGCCATGGCTCATTTAGCCCCTCTGGCATCTTTAAAAACCGAGCGAAAATGAGCTCGGCTACATCGGAGCTTTGTGGTCCTCGCAAACGGAGAGAGGCCTCAGGGCTGGCCCATTAAAAACGAGCTGGAAAACTCTATTTTCCCCATTTCCTCTGGGTTTGGGTGGAGGCTCTGTGATGCAAATCCAAAAGAATGAAGGCTCTGTTCTTTTCTGCATCACTTTACGGGATTGTGATTCAGTTTTGGTGTGTGTGTGTGTGAAAGCGGCGACCCGACTACTTGAGGATGAGCTTATTCGTTAGTGGAGGGGAGCGGCAGAAAGAGGCGACCCTGTTGTGGAGAAGGTCAGAGGTGTCTGGGAGCTACATCAAAGCTCCTCCAATCCTGTGGATCCGTCTCCTCCTTATTTACTCTTTCACTTTTTGTTCTATATTTTTTTGTTTTGTTTTGCTTTGGGAGCATTTTGTGATCATGCCTCGGCCTGCCACCATAACAGAATTCTGTCCCAGAAGTTACTGCAATAAGTCATGATGTTGTTTTTGACACCATTTTCAAGTAACATAATGGTAATGGCTTTCTTTGAGATCAATAAACCTTTATTTCTAATTAACATTTGACACAGGAACCGTAAGAATTCCTCTATTCAAAATAAATAAGCAAAACGACAGAAACGACACATAAATGTGTTATGAAGTCTCTGTAGATAAAGTTGTCCTTCACAATAAGAGCTTAAGTCACCAGACTCGAGATGTTTTTCATTCAATTTTTGGTAGTTATGGAAATTAGTGAGCTCATTTTAATTTGTCCTGCGATTAATTGATTTACTGCTTATTGCGACAGACCCACTGGACATGGCACAGCTTGCAGCTCTGAATGAACCACAGCAGAATACAGATGTTTATTGGAGTTGATTTTCCTTTCTCTTTAAAATTTTCAACCACTTTTAGAGGTTATACGTATCATGACGAAAGGTGAAAACATCTGAACACTTTTACAATGATTTATAAGTATGACTTTTCTATTATTTATCTAACCCTAGTCAGATAGTCATAGCTGTGTGCAGCTGATTTACATTTCATTTAGATATTAAACACTGACATGTGTAGAAACAATTTACAAAGAAAGGAGCTATTTTAAAAGTTCCTTAATAAGACACTTTGTTGACTGCATAAAAATTGCCTCACTTAATATCCGTCCCCGCTGTATGCCTCCCCCCCTGCTGGGAAGCACATCAGAGTAATCATGTTGCTCTGCGGGGTTTAGGTTGAAATTTAACGTATGCCACCAGGCGACCAGTGAAACATTTTGTCAGCGTCTGGCACTCTTCCCTAAAATGTCCAATTTGCCGGTGAAAGTGTTCCCAGTTAATTGTGGAAGCGAAGTCAGAGATGAGTCACGTTAATAACTCCCGCAATCTTCCTCCCTCAGGAAAAAGACAGAGACAAAAGGGACAAAGACAAAGAAACCAAGGAGAAGGACAAGAAGGCCGTGAACGGACACATTTTCACGCCCGTCAGCTCGAACCAGTCCCTCCAGTGCTCCCAGTGCAATAAAGCTTTCAATGGCAAAGAGGTGTTCTGTTGTACATGTAAGTACCTTTTTCTGTCCATTTTGCTGATTTAATGACGTGATGCTTTTCTTTTTGTTTTTTTGTGATGTCAGCCTTTTGCTGTTTATTACTCGAAATGCAGTCGCTGAGAGACCTTTGATCTGTTCAGAAATCAGATTCTATTTTCTGAATCAACTGTTTCAACACTAAGAAGTCCCACTATTTCCAGTCCGGAGTTTTAAAACAACCAGACAAAAGTAATGGGCATACAGTCCTTCAGTTCAAAGGTGGAAAAAAAAGCATCTGCTGAGCGAAACAAAAACCACAAAGGCCTGCTTCACATTTGTGTTGGGAAATACTTTTCTGTGGACACAAAAATTAAGGTTTAGGTTAATTAATGTAACGTTGGGGTGTACGTGGCATATACATGGCAAAAAAACAAAAACAGTAAAACATGGTGACACTTGATGGCAACATTTTATCAATGCAGCTCAGATTGTCACAGCAGATTTTTAAATGAAATTAGCAACTAGTTAGTTGCTGTTGCCCTCCACTTAGCTATCTGCACTGTGCCGTCATTAAATGTGAAGCAGAGAAAACAGCCGAACAGTGACCCAGTTCTCGTCATTACATCCTGCCCACAATGCCAAATGACTGATATAATGACGCTATTGCCATCTGTGTTCATATCTTTGTGTTACGGTGGCCATTCTTAGCATCCTTCTTGCATTTTGTTGTTGTGTTTGGATAAATCATTGCTGTAGCTGCACACTCGTCTCCTGCGGGACTACTTCAGAATCGGCCCCATCAGAGTGTTGGCAAAGCCATTTTTAATTTTGCTTTTCACCGGAGAACCAGAAGAGGATGTAGCTTATTGCACAAGTGGGGTGGGAGGAGTATTTCTGGTGGGGGGGGAGGGGGTGAAAACAAAAAAGCTCAAAAGGAGAAACGAGCTCTGCGATGGATTACGGCCATCTTCTGAATGGTCACATTCTGCCTCAGATACTGGGCTGACAAGAAACAGCCCTTTTTGTTTTGCAGGCAGTCTGCTGCAGAGCCTTGTGAGGCTGACTTTTTTCAGGAGGTTTATAGTCACAGATGTCTGGCTGGTTTCCATCCAGCAGACAAATACAGTGTTTCTTTGTCTTCTGTTTTCTGGATCTACTTGGACATCCACATAAAAAAAGGAAAATACCCAATAATGTTGAAAGGTAGAAAAGGAGCAATCAAGTCAGCGTGTGAACCGGCCACTGATGGCGTCGTTGCCTTTCTCTAAATAGACGTCTTTATTATTTTCTCACACTCAGTGAGAGCGTTTGTTTACTGATGTAATCTTCAGAGCGGAAACGTTGCACGCGCCCCGGCGAGGATGACGGTGCTCCACCTCTGATAAAGTCTTCAGTGGAAACGCTTCGGTGTGTGAAAATTAGCAGGACTAGCGGACCAATCAGAACCTCGCACGAGTTTCCCAAAGAACACAGGCAAAACTGACTGAACTGGATCAAGTTGTACTGGCAGGGCTTACTTTAGCAGCCATGAATTATGACTTTTGTGACTAAATGATGGATATGGGAATGTTTACATAATTGAGATTTTCCCATGCAGTGCAGTATACATGTGTGTGCGTCAAAGCCTGTCCTTTTTCTTTTTTTTTTTACTTTTTCCAAGAGCAGTATTGCCCCTCAGTTGCATCACACACAGCGCTCCAGTCTGGCTTTCATTAGCGGGCTGGTGGAGTTTCCTGGCTGACTGTGAAAACCAGTCAGAATTTCTTGCTCCCATTTCCACCCCCTCCCCTACACACACACGCACACACACACACACACCCACACAAACACACCATCACCAAGCTCACTATGTTGCTTTTCTTTCCAGACTGTAATGCATCCGTCCACAAGGGCTGCAGGGACAGCATGCCTGTTTGTGCCAACGTGAAGATGAAGGTAAAACTTTTTTTTCCCTACCGGTTCTCCTCCACTGACCCTGTAGCGTTCTGTTGTCCTGCAGCCAAAATCAATTCTTTTCTTTTTCCTTTCGTTTCCATGCTTTTATCCCCCATTTCTCTGTTTAGTTGCCCAAACAGCAGTTTGCAGTGCCAGATTCCAGCGCTCCATGCTCTGTTCCTGGCGTCACAATGAGGAACAAAGGTGAGTGTTAAACTAAACTGGACTTGAATGAATGGTCGTTGCCGTCAGTTATGTTTTTTTTTTATTTTTTTTTTTTTAGTTTTTTGCACAGTGCAAAGTTGGCGGAGAATCCTACACGTTTCCAATAAAGGGAAATAACGTAATAGCAGAAGTGAGCTTTAGCACTTCCGTTTAGCTCTTTTGTCTGCACTGTGCTTCAGATGTTTCTGACAGACTTCCACAAAAGCAAGAAATGAGCTTTGCACACATTTCTGGGAAATTTTTTCTTCAGATTTTTCTTTCACATTCATTTTTACTGTTTTGAATGTATGTTTTCTTATGCTGTATTAACCACATAGTCTAAATCATTAATTACTATTATAAATAATGGTACATATCATAGTATTTGAGCAAAAATGTAAAAATCCAATCAGATATTTCTTCTATGCATTATTTCAACAATTATACACCACCTTATATTTTGATGTTTCTTTTGTTCTGCTTTTATTGATTATCCATGTCTTTTTATGACTTGAAATATTTCCAAATAGGTGAATTTGTCTTTCTTTTAAGTGAGGCAAACGTTGGCCATTGGACTTTGTTGTGTTGCGGTACGAGGTTGAAAACGCAGAGATTAGCCACAGTGGCCTGCAGATCACCTGAGGCTTCAGTTCACAATATTCTGTCCACATTTCATGGCACCAAATGTCTGAATTAGTCGTTGATATTTTGTCACATTACAACCTCAAACTTTTGTGTATTTTATTGCAATTTTCTGTCAGCGCAAAGTAGTGCAAACTCATGAAGCAGAAGGAAAATAATTGCTTTTGAAATATTTTCATGCAACGGCTGAATCCGAGTCAGACTTGATGACATACAGTTTTATGTAATATAGTAGAATAAGCTGCAAATGAGGCTCATTGGACAGATTAAATGTACCTTTTGAAAATCATATTTAGAGGGATAGTAAACATATTCTTCATTAGGTCTACATTTCTGTGTAGAAATGGGTTTATTTTTGTTGGTCTGATTTAACTTTCAGACAATTATGATGCGAGGTATTGTTTTCCCAACTGGGATCAGCTGATCGGCATCTAAAAAGCTCAAATAATATCTGAACTTTGATCCCAAATCTCTGAGCAGTTGAAAAGGGGAGCCTCTATGGATGCAGAGAGAGAAGGAGGAAGTTCAAACCATCTCAGTCCCACACAGCAAATTAAAGTCTCGAGTCAGAGGCTTCCTCAGAATTGTTGCAAGACTGACTGCTACCAGAGATCCTTCCTCCCCGCAGCATCACCATCCACAGTGACTCTGTAAATTCTCAGATGACACGAGTTACGACAACGTTTAATTTCCCTTTGGGATTTTTTAAAATCAGACGAATTGAATATCAAGTGTTTCACTTGGGGACAAAATTACTGAAATAAATGGACGTTTCACTGGTATTGTAATTAATTCATTACAATATTTTTTGTGTTGTATTGCTGCTTAAGAATGAGAACATGCTTGTCCTGTCAGCTTTTAAACAAGGCACTTCCTTCGTAAACAGCATTGTCTGAGTCACTGCCCACACTTCTTGAACCTCTTAACCGAGAATGTTGAGATTATTTTTTTTGTGTTTGTTGCCTCTGTTTCTAACAGCTGTGAGCTGCAACGTTGCAGCAGTAGGAAGTGTGCTTTCTGCATGCGCGTTATAAAAACAAAGTGTCGCTGATCAAAGATGCAGTAAATTGTGAACGATGAGTTTAGCCCGATTTAATTAAAGCCGCTTCAAGTAAAAGGATTAGACGTATAAGACGCTGTTTCAGTTTTTTCGGGGTCTATATCTGATTGTGATGGTTTCTCCTCCAGCTGGTGGGACGAGGGACCGTCCCAGGTCAGCCATCTTGAGCCCCGAAGACAATCTTCCTCTGATGATCCCAGGATCACGGAGACACACCAGCATTATGACGTTCCCTGGAAACAATCTGTCAAAGAGCCTCTCGATTAGCAACATCGCAGGGTGAGCCGCTGTCCGTCGTCTGAACGACGATGCAGATCTACTTTTTGTTTTGTTTTCTCTAATCTTTGATCATTTCCTCTTTCAGACCATTTGATGACATCCCCATCAAAGGCCTGCGCTACCTTTCTCAGTCCACAGACTCACTCAACAGAACCAATCAGGTCACTGAATCCATGGAGTCGCTCACTGATGAAGGTTGACACACACACACACACATGCAAACACGCGCGCGCACACCCTTTGTTTCTCCCTTTACGATCTTTCCAAAATAAACAAGCGTAATTGAGCTCAACATTTTGACACAAACCAGGTACAGTAATTTGAACTGTACTTCAAATTACCATATTTTCCCGACTATAAAGTCGCACTTTTTTAATAATTTGTCTAGTCTTGCATCTCGTAGTGAGGAGTGATTTACATATGATTTTTATAACCTGGAGTGACACATAGTCTGCAAAATACAGTAGCTATATCTGGACCACGATACACCCAATGGCACATTTTTTGCTAGCATATGTGCAATAAATGATCACAAATCTGAAAACCAAGTTTAGATACATTAAATTTCTTTCTTTCTCACCGGTGCATTTAGTTTTGTATTTTATTCCACTTTAACAGGCTTAAAACAACAGTTAACTGTTAACATGACAACAAGTCACATTTATTTACTCTGTAGAGATCAGTGGGAACTTTTTCTTAAAAAGAGCATCAGATTTCACTGTGACACACTTTAACCTGAATTAAGTACCAAAGGAAAGGGTTTGTCAGACTAGGGGTTCCCCTTTTGTTTGTCTGAACATCCTGAATCTCCTTAGTTTGGATAACATCTGAAGAATTGAGGCCATGTCAACACTTCAATCTTATCACTGTATTTGCTTTCTAACTTCTATTTTTTATAGTTCTATTATATTTGCATTTGATCAGGAGGCAGTGTTAGAATCTGTCACATAAAACGCAGTGAAGTTGATGCTTTTTTGTTTGTTTGTTTTACATCGACTTAAATGGAGGAAAAATTCTCATGTTATGATGTCTGAATAACTTAAACTGTAGTCTTGTTAGCGATCAGTAGAAGAAGTGAGAGGAAATGTCGTGAATGGAAGCTGTGCTTCTCGTTCAGGCACAGAGATGATGGACGCACAGCTCCTGGGGGAGTTCGAGGCGAACGCCAAAGAGTTCGAAGCAGACTCGTGGAGTCTGTGCGTGGAGCAGCAGTACCTGCAACAACAGAACAAAGAGCTGGTCAAGAGACAAGACGTCATCTACGGTACGACAAAAACAAACAATCAAACTCTCATAACACATCAGGAGTTCCTCTAGGATTTTATTAAACGCTGGTGTCAGAAAATCACATAAGCCCGTAGATCTGCAGAACTTTAAGAATGTCTCATTTTACTTTGCGCAGAGCTGATGCAGACCGAGATGCATCACATCCGGACTTTGCGCATCATGTCGGAGGTATACAGCAAAGGCCTGCAAAAGGAGGTCCCGCTGGACCAGCACACGGTGGAGAAGATGTTTCCGGTGCTGGACGACCTCCTGGACCTCCACTCGCAGCTCCTCCAGCGTCTCCTGGACCGAAAGAAGGAGAGCCAGCTGGAGGCGGGAGGCTCAGAGGGCGGCTTCGTCATCAACAGGATAGGAGACATCCTGGTCAGCCAGGTCAGAGCAGCGCCGCTTTACACCCGATTTTACACTGAATTGAATGAAAGTTTTATAGCTTGAATTCCTTTTTTTATCATCATTATTTTTTACGTCACTGTGAGTTTTGCATATTACATTTTCTTATCCCTCTCTGCTCTTAGTTCTCGGGATCCAACGGCGAAAGTATGAAGAGGGTTTACGGGAAATTCTGCAGCCGCCACAACGAAGCCGTCAACGTCTACAAAGACCTCATGAACAAAAACAAAAACTTTAAAACCTTCATCAAAGTGAGGATGAGAGTTTTCTTCACATGTTTTACACAGCAGTTATTTCCCCTCACGTCTTCAAGCTGACAATGTGTTTCATTTGAACCGCTCTGCTAATTTGCAGCGTCTCTCTCCGTCTCTGTTGTTTTTGCGAAGCCCTGTCAGTGGTTGTGCGAGCACGTTTCTCTAAATGCACCTCCTGTTCTTTGTTTTCTCCCAGAAAAAGAGAAGTAGCAGCACTGTGCGGAGGCTTGATGTCCCAGAATGCATCCTGCTGGTGACCCAGCGGATCACAAAGTACCCTGTGCTGATTCAGAGAATGCTGTTGCACACTAAAGGTGGGTTACATGTCAGCCTCGTTTAACCTTCGTTACATTATTTGTTATTGGTGTGTGAAACAGCAGGAGAATCTAAAGTCACCAATTTAAATATAGAGATGCACTGATCAACAATCCTCCTGAGAGATTCAGATCAAAAAACTTTAAGGATTTTGAAAAGTAACAGATTTAAAAGAGATAGAACTTCATTGATTTATGAAAGCATAAGCATTGCTAATTTTTGTCAAATTTGTATGCATTAGCTTAGATACTGATGGTTGACATAGCACAAAGATGGCTAAAGTTCTTGGTTTTAATGCATGTAGCGAAATGGACATCGACACTTTCAGTAATTAACTTGCCAGCCACTGATCAGAACTGATCAAGGGGAAAAATTGAAATGTGGAACAAGTAAAATGTCAAAGAAAAAAATAATAAAGAAGAAAATGAATAAAAACTAACCAAAACTTTAATCTCCAGTTCGAAAAATGAAGAAGACAAATCTTACTAAATAGCCTCACCCAAATATATACAAATTTTTGCATCTAACTGATTAATTGATCGATGGATTTCACGTATTTTTTGCTTTTACGTATGACTTTTGATCATGATCAGTGGTGCTGCCACCACTGTTTCCTTCCTGTGTTAGCTCATTTAGTTATGATGGATGACAAATTATGCTGGTTACAGGCAGATTGAAAAATAGGTCGATATAACGTGTCAAAGCAGGTATGCTAAATAGTTTTTGATGAGGTTTCTTTTAAGCACATTGATTTAGATATCTAATCCCACACAAGCTTCGCCTGAATTGTCACAAATGTTATTATTAGAAACTTTGCACAATTCCAGTCTTTTGTCTTTTTACTGTAGACCATAATGTCACCTGGTTTAGGAAACGAACAGAAAGGCGCTTTTTTTTTTTTTTTCTTTTTTTTTTTGTAAATGTGATTTAAGTGAGCTAATTTATTCTGAAAGGGGTAAAAAGGCAGTGTTTGGTTGTTCGCCGTTTTTCGAGTGGTGGATCAAGCAGAACTCTGAAGAGCCGAAACATTTTGCACCGTATTTCTATCTGATTTAAACGAGTTCTCGTCAGTCGGCCTCCTACTGTGTACATTCTCTCTAATCCTTCCCTGGAGCCTCTTTACGGTTCCATGTGGGATGGTGGAGCTCTGACTTAATCCCCAAGGTGATTTAAGCAGACTCTGTTTTATTTATTTTTTTTTTTGACAACTCTTGTATTTTTGAAAAGAAGCAGCAGAATATCCTTGAAGATTATTTTCTTTTCCCTCTGCTTTGTAGCTGCAAGTACAAAAAAAAAAAACAGCAGGAGAAAAACCTCCTATATACAGGTCAAGTTGTTACTTATTGTGTCCAAACTGAGCTAAAATGAGAGCGCACAATGTTTCAAATGTTGACTTTGGATTTAAACGGAAATATAACAATTTCACAAACTGTAAGGTGAAAGTGTAGCTAAATTGAATGGACTTTTAATGCAACTTGGCATTCCTCTGTAAACAATGACACTTTTAGTCATCAAAGACGCATCACTGTGAATTCCACTAAAAGCTGAAGTGAGGTCTGAACACCTTGGCCGCCTGCCCTCCGCAGACACGTGCGAGGACTACGTTGATCTGAGCGAGGCCATCCGGTTGGTGAAGGAGGTGATCGCCGCCGTCGACAGCAAGGTGAACGAGCACGAAAAGAAGCACCGCCTGAAGGAGTTCCACAGCCGCATGGACAGCAAGTCCATCATGATCCTGAAAAGCGGCCAGTTCTTCGCCAGGGAGGACCTGCTGAGGCGGAAGCTGATCCACGACGGAGCGCTGCAGCTGAAGAACACACAGGGCAGACTTAAAGGTGAGCGTACAGACTGTCATCTGCTTTTTTTTTTTGTCGTCACCAACAGAATTTGTGAGCGGTTTATGTCTTGTTGGTCTTCCAGATGTTCAAGCTCTCCTGCTGTCGGACGTTTTGGTCTTCCTTCAGGAGAAGGACCAGAAATATGTCTTTGCCATGCTGGTAGGTTCTTACTGTCACCTTCTTCTTCTTCTCTCTCTCCCATCCTCTCCTCGCTCTCCCTCCAGTGATAAACACCAGATGCTGTCACTTTTTCTCAACGGCGTGTTCTTGCTGTTAGCAGTAGCTGTTTATTTCTCCAGCGAGCAGAGGAGCGTCCGCCTCCTGCTCGCACGCTAGCTTGAACCTCATAAAGCCGACGCGGCTCCGGGCTCCTGACCCAGCTGTGTTAAATCATCTGGGGTATTCAGCTGGAGCTCGTCCCATGTTTACAGGACTCCCAGCTTCATGCCGTGGCACATGCTTTTCTGTCGCACATTAGAGGGAGGAAAACAGAGATAATCGCATCCGTCAGAAAAGCTTGGGAGAGCTGGAGTCGGGTCGGGGGGCTGAGAGGAAAACATACTAAAATGAGTGGCAGTTAGTGGAGCAGGGTTTCAGGGGCGGATTGAATAATTAGGAGTGGACGACAGGATATAAACACCGTTGAACGGTTTTAAAAAGTTGATAAGAATCACAAAGTGAAGATAATGAATCCTGGAGGTCTTTCCACACTTGAGCAACCAAAAGGTTTTACGTGATTCTGCAAACAGAGGAAGATTCTCTGAAGTTTTAGACGTTGAAGCAAGTGTTGACTCGATCATCTGTTTACACAACGCATGTATCTACTAAACAACAAAGACCTCAGATTGACCAACTTAGCATTGGTGAATCGCAGCTCTAGCACAATGCACTAAACAATTAATCAGATTAATCGGGATGAATTAACTACACAAATAATTGTCAACTAATTTAGTCATCAATTAAGCATCAACATCATTGACTCTATTCATCTATTTATCCAATCTGTCTGTATACGTCTATGAACAGATCTGGAAAAATGAAGAGTCCACTGCACTGATCCCCATTGAAAACCTCGTTATTCCACCAAATTTTGATTTCTGAACTCTTCCTGAGTTAAAACATTAGTATTGTTATTTCTAACTTTAAATCACTGCATCTTTATATTTATATATATATATATATATATATATATATATATATATATATATATATATATATATATTATATATATATATATATATATATATATATATATATATATTCATAGATGTATATATATACTCTATGAACATATATATATATATATATATAAAGTCTTGACCTTTTTCCTTCCTCTTTGCTTCACTTGTTTTTCCTGTGTAAATAATTAACCCCCTCCCCTATTGTCTTTCCCTGGTGCTTTTCCCATTCTCTCTCCCTTGACCCTCCCACTCCCTCCTGTCTGTCTTTTCTTTTTTTTCCCCACTCTCCTCCCACGCTGGCTTCATCAAACCCTCCCTGTTTTGCTTTTTTTTTTTTCCTTTTCTCTTTTTCTCATCCTCCCTTGTCTCCCTGAAGGACCAGCGCTCCACGGTCATCTCCCTCCAGAAGCTGATCGTGCGGGAAGTCGCCAACAAGGAGCGCGGCCTCTTCCTCATCACGGCGGGCACCGAGAAGCCGGAGATGATGGAGGTCCTGGCCAGCTCCAAGGAGGAACGCAACACCTGGATGCAGCTCATCCAGACCGCCATGCAGTCAATGTGAGTGGGATTCATTTAGATTTCTGCCGTGGCTTGTTTTTATTTATTTTTTTTATCCCTCCATCCAACTTCTATTTAAATCTTCTCTTCTCAAAACATATCTTAGTCTTCTCTTTATACTTCTACTTGTAACTCTGCTGTGAACAAGCTCAGTTTTTCCCTTTCCTCTGCAGTATAAAGCCAGGGTGAGACTTTTTTCCAGACTTTTGTGCTTTTTTTTTTTTTTTTTTTCATGATAATACACACGAAGTTGGGACAAAGCACTGTGCTGCCAGGAGGATTAGCTGCTCTCTACCTGGGGATGGGATGTACTCCGGGTCCATCTAATGCTGGATTGGCTGCCAGGGCAAGCTCGGTTATAAGCAGAGGATTATTCGAATGCAGCCAATGGTGGGGGGGTGGTGTTTGGGTGTGGGGAGAAGGGACGAGGGGAGAAGAAATAAGAGATTTAGCACTCCGTCTCACTCCGACTTCTGTCGAAATACAAAACTGAAATCAAGCCATTGGCAGGAGATGAGAACAAAACTCGATGAGCGCGGCCGTCTTCTCTCTGAGTTATGCATATGAATGGGCTCTCCGCAAGATAAGGCTGGAGCTATATATATGTGGGTGTGTATATATATATATTCCGTGGCAGGAAAAGAAGTTTGGAAAATGTTGTAAATGAGAGGAAGTTAAGTAATTTCTCAGAGGTGAAGTTCCGTGTTTAACGGGTGTTCGTGTCGTTTAAATTGCTTATATTTGAATGTTTTACCTGAAATTTACCTTCACGTTAAATAAATAATAATTAAACGATTGACCTTTTTCGGATTTTAATCTTTTATTTTTATTTTTTTACTTTCTGCGTCCGCACAGGGAGAAAGACGAGGACGAGGGGATCCCCAGTGAGACGGAAGACGACAAAAGACAATTAGAGAGCAAAGCCAAAGAGATGAGAGGTGAGAAGAGACACGTCTTTGGTGAAAGGAAAAACGGCTTTATTTTTTTGTCCTCCCCGCCTCCACCTTCAAACACTCATTGTCTGTTTCCACCGGGCAGATATGTTGAAGCAGAAAGATACGGAGATTATGTCTCTGCTGGAGGAGAAGGTGCGGCTCTTCAGGGAGATGTGGGAGGGCCTGAGCCCAGGCGAGGAGGCCTGCAGGCAGGTCGAGCCTTTCTTCAGGTCAGCCTGCAGCCAGGAGCCGCCTCAGGGGGCGTCCATCATGAAAGACGCCCTGCAGGAAGGTGAGGCGGAGAGGAAGTGAAGTTTGGAGGTGTGTTTTGTTGGTAAAAATGCATCTTTCATTTGGCATTCTCAGCTCTGAAGCACTGAATACAGTGAGATTGAGACGGACAAGCTCGGCTCCCAGCCCTTGGATTTTCTTGTAGATGAGCAACACTGTTATTAAATTTAGACTGTAGGGTTTTGTTGGGCGTTTTTGAATTTTGATAATCTTCCACTGTTTTCACGTGTGTTCAAGCTACGCTGCGTTTATGTGGACAAATAGTTTAGCTACAATGTATCTTGTGATCTATTTCAGGCTGCATTCATGCAGGAGGTGAATGTGACCCAAATCTGCTTTATTTCCGTTTTATTTGCTCATGAGTTCATAATTATGAACTTATGAAAGACCTTTGTCACTGAATCACTTGATCACATCAAACCCCACCCTTCTTGGTCCCGACTACACATCCAAGCAGACTTCTACTTCTACAGAAGTTGCTGTCAATGCGCCACATAATATTCCTGTTTCTAGCTGAGAGCTCAACAGCTTCCTTCATCTTGTTATGATCTTGTCGATTTGCTGAATGAACTTTAAAATTCATCCACAAACTGCTCAATCCACTATTATGCAAACTGAGCGCCTCTGTATTACGTCAATGTTCTTCTTCTGCACAAGCGGGTCACTTTGGGGTCGTTAACCCAAAAGTCTGACTTTAATTGGTAGAATGAACGACGCAACAACAAAAGATTGGAATTGGAACATCCAGACCTGCTGTACGAACGTAGCCTGAGTTCTCTATAAAGTCGACCTCCAAGCCCTCGTTTGCGATTTGCATTCTCCAGCTCAGGCTCTAACATCTGTCAAGAATGTCAGCCTGACATGGCTGCAGACTCTTTCTGAATCTGCAGCCATGCTTCTTTGGCCTCCGCTTGCTAAATCTGTTCTGCTCAACACTTTCATTTTTCCCATTAAGGCTGTGAGAACTTTTTGTCACTTTACTTGACAGCATTTTAGTTGTTTTTTTGTACTGACCAGCAGATAAAGTAGTGCGCAGTTTTCAAGTGGATGAAATACAACACAGCGGTTTCTGATAAAAATCTGAAACGTTGGTGTGTGTGTTTGCATTCAATCCCCCTGAGTCAGTTCTTCACAGAATCACCTTTTGCTAACATTTCAAGCTGCCAAGTCTCACACAACTAGAGAGAAAAGGCTCTGACAGATTGGAAGGAGGTTTTCTGTAAACATGTTTGTTAAATTCTTCTCAGAGATTTTTTTATTGGGTTTGTTTAAGGTGTTCAGGGTCTTGTGCTGTGTTCTCCGTCATAAGCAGCAATCTGTATGTTGAGCACAAAGTTAAATTATAGTTTCATGTGACAAAGACACAACCAGCTAATTGGTTCTGGCTGTATCGCAACAGAATCAGTTCAGAAAATTTAAATGAAATTCCACAAAAAAGGAAGCTGATTATTTACTAGACAGGTAATTTTTAAAGCCAATACTAGATTTAGGCGTATCAGACTAAATGGGCTAAATAAAAATGAACAAATATAATTTTGGGGGGGAGAGAGGAGTTAAAGTCAGGTATTATTTTCTTCTTTTTCATTTGCTAGTGTCACAGGATTTGAAGAGGATCAAGGAGTACGGATACTTTTGTCCGGCACCCTAAATAAACCTGCTTATCCACGAGAATCCTTCAGATAATTGCACATCCTGTTTCTGAGTTAATTGTCTCGGTCTCATCAGAGCCAGAGAGAGAGAGAGAGTGGAGGGCGAGAGATGTTTGTTGTTCTGGAAGGCATCTTTTCAAAAGAGTGTGCCGACAACATAAAAAGAAGTCGGAGTTCGGCAGTCGTGTTCCAGCTACGTTTTACGCGTTTGCTGGCCCCCGTCGTTCGGCAAGATTTGCACGAGAAGAAAGTACAGAACTCTGAAAAACGCTGAAATGTAATGTTGTGACAAAGAGATTGAAATGCGGAGACAGACGGAGAAGCACGTCACATTCTCTGCCCCATTAGGGTTGCTTTATTTGGGGAAGACTCGGGTGTAGGACTGCTGCATGTTTTCTGAAGGCAAACTCCACTCTGCTTGTTTTCAGAGAAGTTAGGAGTAATGGTAACAGGTTTACTTATATTTGAACAATGAGGAATGTACAACATTTAAAAATTATACATAAAGAGTTTTAATTGATTTATTACGGAAGATAATAAGATGTTTCAGAATTGTGGGTTTTCTGTTGCAGTGCCAGCACAGTATCACTTCTCTAAAGGTTTCTTATGTTTATTTGGGTTTCAAACTAAGTTAATGCAAAAACACAAACTCTTACCAAGAATCTTTCAGTACACTTGAATTAAGACAAAACTAACGTAAAAGTAACCTTTCAATAAGATAAAGAAGCTTGTTTTACGTCAGTAATTCTTGAATATAAACACAAAAAGTAATATTCCATTGTTTTTTTCACTGTTTTTTTTTTTCTGCCTGAGAAAGAAGCTCGTTTATCTTGCTGAAATGTGACTTTTAAGATCGCGTTGTCCCACTTCAGGTTTAATAAGACATTTGCACTTGAAATTAGACAAAAATACTTGGTAAGATTTTGTGTTTTTGCAGTGCAGTTCAGAAAATCACACACTGCTCCAAACCAAACCTGAAATTGGTTCGAACACCAAGAAGATGTTTTCCAGCTTGCAGCTTTAGCAACGGCTCACAGCTTGAAGACATTTCAGTGTTTTTACGCGCCTGCATTTCTGCTTTTCTTTATTTCTTCTGTTTTCATCCCTCCACTCTCCTGCACATGCCCCATTATGTCTTTATTTTTTCCCCTTTTTCGTCCAGACACCAAATCGTTTTCGCATCGCAAATATGTTGAAAGTTTTAGTGAAGCAGCTCTGTGGATCAAACAGGTTGGTGCTTGTTGCTTGGCAACGGGAGCCAGGAGTGCCTGGCTGGATTCTTGGGTGCAGAACTGAGCTGTAACGCAGTTAGCCGGGATAATCCACTTACCGACCTGCACATTAATGTCTGCCCCCGTGTGTGTGTGTGTGTGGACAGTGGAGACATTGCAGGGACTGGTGAATGGCAGCCTGGGGGGAGCGATGGCCAGCGTGCACGAGGGAGGAGCCGCCGGGCCCGTGTCCCTGCCCCGTCGGGCCGAGACGTTCGGAGGCTTCGACAGTCACCAGATGCACGGCGGCAAGAGTAAGCCCCGCCTTCTGACGTTGGATTAGATTGCCGGGAAACGCACCAAATAAAGAAAAGTCCCAATCCCTCTGTAAAATTCCACACTTAATTGACCGAGTTGGAGGTGACACAGCACCTGACGCTTCCCACAATCCACCTGTTCAGCGCAGCAGACGAGGTGATTTAGAAGCTGGGGTTTCCTGAGAGAGGCGCGGCTCGAAGCGACGCTTCTCCCCTGACCGGGCTTAAAAGCTTCGAGCTGGTCTAGGGTTCTGCATCCGCCTCAAAACAAGGATGGCTACATTAGATGGGATTTAGTATTACTGACAGAATTTGTGGGAACGGAAAGGGAGAAGAATGAAGCGCAGAATAAAATGGCTGCACTATGACGGAAATCCCAAATGGTTGTAAATGTTCTAATTTCAGTGGATGGTGGAATCACAAAGAGAATTCTCCTCATAAAAATACGGACCTTAGTGTGTCTAAATGTTCAAGTCCTTCATCTTTTTTTTAAATCCTTTGTAGTCTTTTCTGAGTCTCTGGAAAATATGATGTCGACACCAAAGTTGTGTAACTTTTAATTTTCTGTTGTTGCTTGCTGTGTGACCTATTGATTAAAGTCGCAGAGTCTCTACTTGTGTTGCAACACAAATTGAATTTAGTGAACAGAAAAATAAGAAGACAAGTTTTTTCAAAACAAGAACATTTTATGTGTTGAGCTGCAAATCCTTGTAGGTTTATGTTTCTACTGGTTCTCCAAACAACGGACAGGTTTTTGTCTCTTCTTCTTATAAAATGTGTCAAATGGCTAAGAAAAACATCTGTGGGCAGCAGTTTTGAAGTTGTACTAAAAAATTTGATTTTTGGAGCTCAGAAATTTCCAAGGATTTTTTTTCTAGAAAATTTCTGAGATTAACCTAAAAAGTTCAGATTTTTTCTTTTTTTTTTGGGCGGGTGGGGGATTTACAATTTTCTCTTATGGACCAGGTGTAGACAGATTTGATTTCCGTTTATGGAAAAGACGGCTGATGTTCAGAGGGATACTTTTCAGCTTTAAAATGCGATCACATCCATAACCCCACTCTGACGAATCCTGACACAAAATAAATGTATTGATTGAACGTTATTTAAATTTTTATTTCATTTTTTTTTAAACATGCTGTCTTGTTTGCTTCCCCGTCTCGCCAGGTGGAGACAGAGACGAGAGCGAGGACGCGGTGGGAGACCTGCGCAGGACGGAGTCGGACAGCGTTTTGAAGAAGGTCTGCATCTCAGCATCCGGCTGCTTCCTGACTCACACGCAGCCTGAGGCCATGTGTCCTCCTACATCAGCAGCAGCATTTAGATAAATGTGGCTGCCCACCCACCTCTCCTCCCCCCCCTCTGCTGGATTAGCCTCTTGACTCTTCCTGCCAGGTCTCGTTGCCACTGACGACCATCAGCTGGATATCTATCTGACAGTGGTGGGGAAGGAGAAAGAAAAACAAAACAAAAAACAACAACAAATCAACCTCTGTTTATTCCAGTGCTGGTGGTATTGTTGCGTCATGGATGAAGTTTTGTCTGCATGTAATAATTGTCAGGATGTTTTATGAATCTCTTTGACAAAAAAGTAATAATGATAATTACAAAAGCAGACAAGCCCTGAGAGGAAAATATGCTCTGAGCTAGAAATCAAAGGCATGTGTCACATCTTGAAGTAAAAATATAAACGTAAAATAGAAAAGCTGCACATTAATAATCTTCTGCACGCACGCGGCTTCAATCGGTCTGAGTTCTTGTTTTTTTGCATGCAGGGAGGAAACGCTAACCTGCTGCAGCTGCTGAAGAGGAACAGTGAGGTAAGAACGCCTTCCTGTCTCCGAGCTCGCTAAGAGACGTCGGCATGGAAACGGTCAAAACAACCGTTGTTGCTGCAGCCCAGCCCATGCGTGATGTTGCAGCAGCTTTTGTCTGTTGCACAAAGTGCTCTCTGGAAGTGTAATGAACAAGGAGACGGAGATGCAAGTGCCTTGCTAAATAGGACATGAAGTACTTTTTTTTTTAAATAGAGAGAAAAGCAAAGGTTACTAAATGTTTTTAGTTTTTTTAAAAAGTGACGTTTACACCAGAAATAATAATATCCAGATGTAGTTTGTGATACGACATCTGGGACGAGGCGATATGGACTTAGAATTTTGTGGCAATATTTTGTGGTACTATTGTGATGGCAGCAAAGATTGTGATGAAAAAGAAAAGTAATAAATAGTTTTGCGGGACGGCGACTGCATGGCGCAGCATCGCCATAAATACTAATCTTCTCTTCTGAAAAAGCCTTTTTTGGATCCCACTTACTGAAATAAATTATATTTTTATCACTACACTGCAAAAACTGAAAATCTTACAAAGAGTTTTTGGTCTAGTTTTTACTGCAAATATCTTAGCACACTTTAAACAAAACAATATACATAAAACAATAGTTACTTGTTTTACATGTATTGATTTTTGACTTTTATGTAATATTGATGTTCATTAATATGAAGGAATTATTGACTTAAAACAAGCTCATGTATTTTGCTTAAATGTTACTTGTGAATCAGTTTTGCCTGATTTCAAGAGTACTAAGATATTTGCACAACAAACTAGGCCCAAAAGTACTTGGAGAGATGTTATTTTTGCAGTTTAAACTAACAAATTAAAAAAAATGTTTACTGAGCTTTATTAACACTCAACGATAAATCAAAGTTCTTATCACAAGGAGATATTTTTCACTAAAACCGATAAGTAATACGATAAATGCCCACTTCTACATGAGGCTGCTGAGTATTGTGATGAATTCACATGTGATTTCACCTCCAGTTTCAGAGAATTCACTTCCTCTGCTGCCAGTAACAACATATAAATCATATTTGTATGCTTGTAAACACTCGGCAAAGCAAAGGTCAGCGGCCTGGTCCTATTTAGAGTGTTTTAAAAAGAGAAAAATGTCACGTCCGTAACGCGCTTGTATGAAGCCCGGCTTCCATAAACGCTGCAGGACAGAGCCTATTCATGCCGCTTGAACTCTTTCACGGTTTGTCACGTTGCAAACAAAAACTTTAAGGCGTTTTAGCTGGTTTGTGTGTGTTTAGTCCAAGAAAAATGAAAGGGAAGAGAAAAAAACAAACAATTTTCAACATTTTTTGCAAGCCACTCTAAGCAGTATAACACCAGGCGAGATGATAACAGCAGGACGATTACAGGTTGTATGACGCTCGTTGTTCTCACTGTTTCCCACAGCAGGTCCTCCACAGCGTCTCCAACCTGCATCTTCTGCTCAGCACTCTGCAGGTACGCCACCGCCTTTCTTACTTTTTTAACATTCTACTTAGAATATAACAGCACATTCTGAGCCATTTTAAAGATTTTTTTGCAGTTGTGTGACCAAGACAATCAATTTATTGTTTGTTAGTTTGACTTCTTTTAATATTTATTTCACGCTGACATAAATTTGTAATTTAGTAAAGTTATGTCTGCGTTTTAAACATCATGTAAAAAAAAAAAGAACAATTTAAAGTCAGTATCGGCCAATACTAAACCTCAGATATTGATATCGGTATCGGAAGGGAAAAAATTTATCTCTTTCTTAAAATTGATGAAGGAAAAGTACTAGTTATGAGTGAAATAATTTGCCAGTGGAACAAAACATTTCTCCCATATTATAACTTGAAATATCTTTGAATTTTTCATAAAAATATAAAGACTACTAAATCAAAACAAGCTCCTATATCTTGCTGAAACGAGACATTTACTCTAGAAACTAGACCATAAAAGCTACTTGGTAAATTTTGCAATGTAATGGTACAGACAAAAAAACAAAAGACATCATCTTAAAGACCAAAGAGTTTGTGTGTCTGGTGTGATCTTTGCAGGCCGTGGTGGTCCAGCAGGACAGCTACATCGAGGACCAGCGGCAGGCCCTGAGCGAGCGCTCCTCCTCGTGCTCGTCGCTGTCGCGCCAGTCGTCGCGGCCCAGCTCGCTGATCGAGCAGGAGAAGCAGCGCAGCCTGGAGAAGCAGCGGCAGGAGCTGGCCTCCCTGCAGAGGCAGCAGGCCGCTCTGGCCGAGGAGAGGCGGAGGAGGGAGAGAGAGTGGGAGCTGAGGGAGCAGCAGCTCTCCGACAGAGAGTCCACGGTGCACCTGCAGGTGAGACGGCGCCTCGCCTTCCACCGATGTACTTTTCCGTGTCGGGCTCTGAGTTTTCCAGGAGTGGGGATCACTTCATGCCGGAGCAGTTCAGAACCGCAGGGGCTTTTCTTCCACATCGTGCTTTAAAGTAGAAACTCTAGTTCCCTTCCCAGATTTCTGTAGTTGCTTGAAATTTCAAATCGAGTCAATCGAGTTTATTTGTATGGCACGTTTCAGCACCAAGGCAGTTCACAGTACTTTATATCATAAAAACACAAAGGTAAAAAAAATTTGAGAAACCAGTAACAAACATTATGTTTTGTCACTATTCTTTGTTTTTATACGTTCAGCTTGATGTGAGATGCAGATTGAAGTGATTGTTTGGGTTTATGGATTTGGTTAAGGTGAAAGGATGTGGCTTTTTAGAGTTTCAGTGTTTCTAAATAGACTCATCCACTATTACAGGTTCACAATAAACTCAGGTATTAAAAAAGTCTCCCAGACCTCAATATTGCTGTAAAACCTGTCAAAGGTAGAAAAACACTTGATAATAAGGTAGATGTTCACCTTTCTCCAAAAGAAAACCCATTCAGCCAGAGCTGCAGAAGGATGAGTTACACTAAAGCCTGTAAGTGTTGCTATTACTGCACTTATTTGTGTTGCTATTTAAAGCAAAATACTCAGTGAACTGAGAAAGCAACTCTGAGTTAGATGATCAGCCAATACTTGCATGAGAAATCAATATTTTCCTGTCTTATTTACCTTTGCAAAGAGCTGAGAATCAGCCACTGTCCCTTTTGCTCTGTCATGGCAGCAGGCTGACTGCCAGACACTTTTCATACTAAATAATCAATTATCAGCCAAAAATGGGCTTTTTAAAGGTGATCTATTATTCTTTCCTGAACTGGTTTCGATGGGTCTGTGGGCAATGCAAAATAGATTTCTTAGATAATGATATTTTAATCTAATCGGTTCTGCTTTTTTAGGGGCTTGTCGCTTTAAATCCAAAGAAAGTTCAGCTGGCCACGCACCCCAACTCAACGTTCACACGCACACATTAAAACGGCTGCAAACAGATGAGCAAATATACAACCATACATCTTTGAAAAGCAGAAGTGGCGCCACCTGCACAACCAACGAGAACGCAGCCAGTGCTTTCTCAATGTCAAGTTTTCACGTTTTCCAGCAGCCATTGTACAAAAAGTGCTGGAGCGCCACTTGGGTTGCTAGGTGACAGTGTGGGCTTCGCCGGTGGTTGCTAGGTCAGGGGCGGTGCCTGCCGATTTGGGACGTAACAAATTGGGAGGTTTTTGAAACCAGCCATTTTCCAAACACCTAAAAAGTTGAACCTATTGCCATGAAGTGCTCGGCTGTTTTGAGAAGCTTTAGAAATTCAAGTCAAAGAACAAAAAGATGTGCAAAATGTGAATTTTTCATAACATGTCCTCTAGGTGTAATTGTGTGAAATCAGCTCTCAGACGAATCACAGGACACATTATCTTCTTCAAAGCTTTACATTCATCGACATTCAAAACCCACAGCGTGTTTTTAAAAAGCCAAGAATCACATCTTTACCACAAATCGGAGAAATAAACAAGGGCTTCAGTGAACATTTCTGAGCCGTGTTGTTTCATGGTGCTGCCTCCCCACCCTGCAGGAGGAGGAGGTGCAGAAGCAGCACAAGCAGCTCGACGAGGAGAGGAAAGAGCTGCAGAGCAAGAAGGAAGAGTACCAAAGAGACCTGGAGAGGCTGAGAGACGCCCAGAGGAAGCTGGAGAAGGAGAGGGAGGCCGTGCAGCGGCAGATCCACAGGATGGAAGAGCTGCGGCTGACTGAGGTGAGCCGGGACGACGGATGTCAGGGAAATATGACAACCTGAGTCCTGCAGGTGGAGCTGAGGCTCAGAGTCTCACCGTCTTAAAGGGAGATAAACACGGTTTCAGCGCTCCAGGAAGTCCAAACAGATTAGCTTTTTCTTTCATTCTAAGTCGGACATCATTCTCACCATTAATCAACGATAAATCTCCAAAACACACAAAATCTCACCAAGTATTTTTGATCTAGTTTCTAGTGCAAATGTCTTAAAGGAGACAAAACTAACTTACAAGTAGCCTTTCAGCGAGATATAGGAGCTTATTTTACGTTAATAATTTATTAATATTGTTGGAAAAACTGCAAGATTTTTTCACTTCCAACTAGAGATGCACCGATCTGATATTGATATCAGTATTGCTTCGATATGGAAAATAATTCTAGCTCTATTATCTGTGAGTGTGCATAATGGAAGCTCTTTTCAGTCTAATTCTATGCTTTGTGCTCTGAGTGATGTCATGCTTTATTATTTATTTTTACATCAAATTTAGAAATGCTTTCTGAACCATTTGAAAGAAGATTTATTTTTACACATTTGATCATCATTGTCAGCCTTGTCAGTTTCTGTTTTTATTATTTATACTCCTAATTGCACCGACTGGACAAATGAAAGTTGTTTATGTTTGATTACAGCTTTTGAAGCTGTTGGTGTATTTTAGTGTGCTGTACTGGTGCAGAGTTAACAAATACATTTGTAATTCAGTAAATTTATGTCTGTGTTTAAAAAAATAAAATAAATTAAAAAGGAGATACTAAACCTCAGATATCATTAATGGTACTGGAAGTGAGAAAAGTGTATCGGTGCTTCTCTACTTACAAGATGAATACAATGTCTTGTTAACCAGTACATTTATAGTTTACTGAATTTATCAATATTCGGGAATTATTGACCTAAAACGAGCTTCTGGTTCTCGCTGAAAATGAACTTCTAAGTTGTGCTGATGTTAGCACCGGCTCACATTTCCCTCCTGTGCCTCCAGAGGACTCCCTCCACAACGTCCGACGAATCCTTGTTCCTGGGCAGCTCCCAGTCTCTGGAGCTGGACCCCCTGGACCTCTCCTCCTCCTCGTCTTCGTCCTCCACCCTGCCCAGGCTGCAGCCCCAGCGCGCCAAGGCCAGCCGGAAGGGCCTGAACCCGTTCACCTCGTCGTCCTCCGGCAGCCTCAAGAGCTCCGAGGCCAACAGCCAGATCTCCAAGGGCTTCCTGCAGCTGGCCAAGACCAAGAGCAAAGACGGGAAAAAGAAGAAGAAGAGCAAAGGCGGCAGCGCGCAGGCGGCAGGTAGGGAATGCCGATGGATTCTGATGAATTATTAAGCGTCTTACAGCGAGTTGAAGTGGAGTGTTTTACTGTCAGGAGGATGGGGGGGCAGTCAGAGTCAGATGCAGAAGGAAAATAAGATTTGTGTTGAGGATGGACAGCAGATGTGTTAGATGTATTTTAGGGGTTTTTATGCATTCCCAACAACTTTAAATATGGCTGGAAGTAACACTCCATTTCTGTCATTCTGAAGTAGCTCAGATAACGACTGTAGAGATTAAAGATTGCGTCTTTATTCTGCTAATATGATTGTTGTCATAATTAATTCACAATTCTCACAGCCCATTATACCACTCACAGTAGGGACGGATGGAATAAAAGGCCTCATTTTGAAACAATTTCTGTCATTTGTAATGTTGTTTTTAGAATAATTCATTCACTGAACTCAACCTGGAGTTTTACTGAATGAACTCCAGGAAGCTCCTGGTTCACATTTAGCCGGGCCGCTCCGTCCTCCGTTTCAGCCGCCTGTGAACAGATCAAAATCAGGACTGCGGCTGCTCCTTTGAAGCGTTTCATCCTCCAGAGGAGGGAAAGCGGGAGATTTGAGTCGCCAGCCGCTCAGACCAGAGAGGTTGCTTCATCTGTGGCGTGAACCACACAGACATTTATCACTGGAAGCTTCTGGCTTTCAGCTCCATCAGCATGTCATCAGACAACACCTTCCTTTTTCTCTTTTTTGAATTATTTTCTTGCCTCCCTGTTTTCACCTGATTAGTATTTCACACAGGTCGCCGAGGCGACGCTCACATTTGTTGCGGGAGTAAATGAGTTTGGAGGGAGTAAAATATTCAGCTGTCTACATTTCAGGAAGGGGGGGCTGCAGCTCTCTCTTTCCTTTTGATTTATTTATTTATTTTTTCCCCATTCAAGATCCTTCCTGTGTTTACAGATCAGACAGATGCAGCAGAGAGAGAGGGAGAGAAAAAAAAGTCAAAATGGATTTGGTATTAAAAGCACCGAGACATGAGAGAAGCACAAATACATTTGGAGATGATGGCTGTGAAATGAACATGCAGCACATTAGGCGGCTCCCTCAGGCGGCCTGTCGTCGCCCCGTTAATGGGTCTGCGTGACAGATCCCGACACTGACTCCTCTCTTCTCCTCTCCTCAGACCCCCAGCATGTCCCCGAGCCCCCCATGGATGGAGAGATCTTCTTCTGCTAGGACTCTGCAGCGGCGGCGGCGGCTCCATCGTCGCTCCCGACAACGCGGAGTCCACGTGTTCCTGCGCACTTTCTCAGTACGACATGTAGCACAGACTGCGCCTCCGGTTGGATTTTCGTTTAGAGGTGCAACCAAGAAGCCTTTTGTTTTGTTTTGTTCTTCGAGGCTGGTACCGCTTCTTATGTTGGGCTCATTCCCAGATTCTTTATGGAATGTAAGCGATGGAAGAAGTAATAAAAACACACAAAAAACTAACCGTGCTGCATATTGAATCCGATAGAGAGAAACGACAAGATGAGTCCATCCATTATGCATCAGAGCATCTGTTCCAGCTTTATTCATCGGGACTTCGCTGTAGAAGAGCACCAGACTGGGAGAGACGTTCAAAAACCCAACAAAACAATTGTTTTTTTTTTTTGTGGAATTGAGGAATTTATGAATAAGGAAAGAAGAAAAAATTGGGGATTTGACATCACCAATCAGAGCCAATTAAAAGAACATGGGACAATTGCCACGACTGACCAATTGATCAAGGCATCTGTACTATCAATTGAAAGTGAAAACCACTGATTTCATTCTGTCGTCTCCACAGGCCAGAATCCTCTTGTTTCCAACGCGCACGAACGCCTCTTCAAATCCAAACGCAAACTAAACCAAAAATACCTTTTTTATAACTCTAGTTTCTAGCAGAAATATCTCAGTGCACCTGAAGTAAGACAAACCTAACTCATGAGTAACTTTCCAGCAGGATAAAGAAACTTGTTTTAAGTAATCTATTCCTCAATATTGATGAAAGAAGTGCCGGTTCCACTGGCAGGTTATTTCACTAGTAACATGGGAAAAATGTCTTGTTCTAAGTTTAATGAACTTGCTGAAATGTTACTTGTGAGTTCGATTAATCTCATTTTATGTGCACTAATATATTTCCACTAAAAACTAGACCAAAGTAACTTTGTGAGATTTGGGTCTTTTTGCAGTGTGGGAACAGATTAGTTTTTCGATGCTGATCACTTTCGTTAATCGACGACTGATCAAAAAATTTAAAAAAACAAAAAAAAAACACTTAAAGGGCCTCGTGTTGTCCTGGCAACATTCTTTTTTTTATCACAAGGAGCTGCTGCCTCTGTGTTTCACTCCTAACCAATCACATCACACATCACAACCACCTTCTTTTATATTTCGCTGCCGCCAGATTGTAAGCTAAACGGACACGACAAACAGCGAGTGGAGTAATCCGCGGCGGCTTTACGCCGTCCATCACGGCCCCTGATGAGGTTGTAATTCATTTAAATTGGGGATGTCTTCATTTTGGAGTGAAACTCTTAAGACTCGGCTGTAATGAAAGGATGGAGACGCACGCTATCTCTCCTTGTCAAACGGCTCAATTCATATCCTTTTAGTGTGTTGTAGAACCTTGGATGGATATTAGCTTGATCCCGGCGTTATCTGCCTGTCAATGAGCTTTTATGCAGCCCTCATCTTTCATCCGAGCCCAGACTACTGGAGGGGAGACAGCGGGGTGGGAGGGAGCTTTTACTTTTTGTGTTTTAATTGCATGTAACTCCGCAGGTAGCATACTAATGGCTGCTGGTAAAGCGTTTGCTCTGTTTTTAAAAAAAAATGATTTCTGCTTTTGGCTGTGATTAGAAAGTCTGTAGTCGGAAGCTGCACAGCACAAAGTCTCTGGTCTAGTTTTTAGTACCGATATCTCAACACATCTGGTGAGACAAAACGACCTTGCAAGTAACTTTTCAGCAAGTTCTATTGCTTTAAGTCTAATTCCTTAATATTGATGAGAAAGTGCGAGTTCCACTGCCAGATTATGTCAGTGCTAGCACATGCTATAAGTGAAATAATCTGCCGATGGAAGAAATGGTTTTTCATCAACTAGTTATTGACCGACGTGCTGAGATGTTTGCACTGGAGACCAGATGGAAATAACTTGGTAAGGTTTTGTGTTTAAAGCAGTGAAAGAAGGAAACACAAAAGCCACGAGTTGATTCCACCGACTAAAGCTTCTCATTTCAGAGTTCACTCTGTATTTTTAAGCACTTTTTGGACCCAAAACATTGATGCATCTTTTATTTCATATCAATATTGATTTTTTCTTTTCTTTTTATTGTTTGTTTTTCATTTCAAATCCAGTTGAACAGCGATCCAAAGAGACACCATGTGTTCAAGTGTATAAAATATGTAGTTTTTCCTGCAAACTGCACTGTTTGTTCCTCCAAACTAGATTTGTAGGCTGTACTATTTACCTGCTGGTCGGGTAGGATGAAGAAAAAAACGACAAAGCATGAAGTTGTGACAACACAAACAGCCAGTGTTGCCGTATCGGAGTCACCGCCACGCTTTCCTCTTGCTCGGTGCTTGTTTGCCTGCGTTTGGGCCTGGAGTTGCTGTGGGACGTCCCGTAACGGTTCCCGCCAATTATCTGCTTCACGTCTTTTTTGTTTATGGATTTCTGTCGCAGAAACAGAAAGAAAAGGGCTTTTATCTTTTCTTCTTTCTTCCTAATGTGTGTGGGTTTTTTTTATTTTCTACCACTAGGGAGCACCGTGCCGCCTCCCTCCATCCGGGAAACCAAAACAAACAGAAAAGTACAAACCCCGCTCCTCTCCCCCGCGGCGGGAAATTGACTTGCTTCTTTTGTTGTTGTCGTTTCTCGGCGGGTCATCGGCCTACGGCGGGTAATGTGACGAGCGTGGGCCCTCGCGCTCCGTGACATTTTCTCCCCGCGGCATTTGTAACTGACTGAAAGAACAAATAAGTTGTCAGATCCTAACAGGTGACTCAGCGCAGGCGGTCGGCTGCAGCTTTAATGTTGGGAGAGTGCGGCGGCGGGGGGAGGGCGTGCCAGAGACAATCAGCAGACGCAGTTCAGGAAAATGAGCTTCCTCCTCCTCCACCACCACGGCCGTGATGATGACGACGATGATGATGTGTGTGTGGGTGCATCAGGTGAAGCCCGCGTAGCCTTAAAAATCTTGACGATAAAATGCACTAGAGTAGAAGCCAGCGTCTTCTCAGGACAGAGGAGAGCTTTTATACCTCTGCTTTCAATCGAAGGAAATGTTTGTACTAGAGAAATGGTACACTATTCATTCTCAGCATTGTAAAAACAAAAGAAAAGGGCAAAACTGTAAATATGATCGATGTATAAATAAAAACCAATCGACTGTACAAAAACGAAACAAAAAAATCAACAAAAACAAAAAAAATAGTTTGATTTGTGATTTATTGCAACATTTTGTAAGAATATTTTATTTATGACTACCCTAGTCTGTGGGGTAGTGAAAAATGTAAAAGCATATTTCACAATAATAATAATAATAAAAGGTTCATAACACAGTGAATGGCTTATTGTGGTATTTTGTTCCTCGTTTCGTCTCTGTAAGACCGCCTGGTGTCAGATTTAAAACGGATGTCTCCTTTTTTTTTTATTATTGTTTATTAGAACCAAAAATCTGCTAAAATAACTTCAGTTTCAAATGTTCTAATTGTTTTTACATTAAAAAAAAGAAAAAAAATCCCACTCAAATTAGTTGTAGTTCTACAAGAGTATTAGAACATTTTAAAAATGAAATTATGAGTAAAAGTTAAAAAAAAAGACTAAAATCATAGTATTTTGAAAATAATCATACAAGAATAAAATGCTTATATTACAAGAATAAAGTCACAGTATTTTCTGAATAAGGTTGTATTACAAGAATAAAATCTGACTTCTAACACTGAATTCATCTTAGAAATATTGAGTTTATTTAAGTAATATTAACACTTTATTCTAGTAGTTTATATTTTTATGTTCTTAGCAAGATTATAACATTCTGTTGTGGTAGTTCAGTAAATTCTTATGATACAAAATTTGATTAGATTTTCTCTAATGAAGATGTGTGTTAATCTGATGATGCAGCTAGCCTGCAGCCTGCTGCTTTACATTCTAGCAGCTCATTGGGTGGAATCATAATATTTCATTAAATGTACAACTGGGTGAAATATCTGTTTATCTCTGGCTCCAGATTATAAACACAGACATATAGTCATAAAAGGCTCTTTATACCTTTTACTGTGACTTAATAACTTTTAAGAATGTAAAGGTAATAAATAAATGTGGTGACTGTTTTCTGTCATTTTCTTTCTCCTGTAGGTTGCAGAACGTTTTTAAGATTTGATGATGCTGCTAAAGAAAATGCATTAATTCCCTTTCATGGTAACAGTTGAAGAGTTCAAAGAAGTTGAAGTTTTAATTTAATACATTTTTAATATTTTTTTTCTTTCAATTCCAAAGAAGATTTTGTAAATAAGTGGTTTTGTTTTGAAGGGTCGCGTCTCTAAAAAGCTGAGCCTTGGTTTAGATTCATAGAAGGACTTTATTCTGAAATGTTGCCTTTTATTTTGGAACTACTTCCTCCACAAACATAACATTTATATGTGGCAGGATGCCATTAGTCGCCTCTAACATGGGATGTAATTTCCTGCTCCTTCATTTTACCAGCGCCAGCCGGTGAAGTGTCACCAGGCCGCATGCGGTTCGCCACAGCCGCCGCCTCTTAACCCGCCACTTTGATCTGGTTTGGGCAGCCATCTTGTGCCTGCACTGCACTGATCACATGGTGATAACCGGCATTCAGGAAAACCATTGACATGCTCTGCCACACATGCTAACACAGAGATGAACTACCATGTAGCGCCTTAGCTACACAATGGCAGACAGTAGTTTATATGAGGTTGATCACGTGTCATCGGCTTGTTCTCATTGGCTCACGTGTTTCTATAAAGACCTGAATTCAAGCTGTTGGTCTCATGACACACAGGTTGGGCATGACTTTACAAAGAGGGCAGTAGCCCAGGGCCAGAAATCTTGGGGTGCCCGGGTTTTTGTTGTTTTTCTTTTTGTAATGAATGTTTTACATTGCACTTTATACCAATTATTCAAGTTAATTTGTGTAGCACATTTCAGCAACTAGCAGTGCTTCACATGGTAAAAACGCAGGTCATAGAAACAAGACACAGTCGCTGATTAAGAAAGTAACGACATGTTACTTATGGCTCTATGTCACCAAAAGGCATCAGCGCACATCCAATATGTCGGCCGTTTATTATGGCTCAAAAGCAACACTAAACAGCCAGTTATTAAGCCTCGACTTGAAGGAAGTCAGTGTTTCAGCTGTTCTGCAGTTTCCTGGAAGTCTGTCCCTGTTTGGTTCTGGTTCTATAAAACCTGTAGGACCACAGCCGTTGAGTATCGTTTGCGGAGATAAACAAAGCAAAGTTTGATAAGTAAGAACCTGTGGTCAGTTTTCCAGGAACATCCCGAAGCCGTGTTCAGCCTATCAGTTCACCTGTCGATGCACTGCAACCTGCAACAGCAGGAGAATTTTTCAGCAAAAAGAAGAAGAAAAAAAAATGGCTCCAGGCCAATAAAAACTTTTTATTCCAGAGGTGAACTTGGTGAGATGAAAATCCAATATCAGAGTGCATGAGACAGGAAGGAAGGAGAGCAGCAGAGCCCAACGTGTGCAGCTGTTAGCCTTCCTGGCTTCCTGATTGGACGGCTGCGCGAGAGAAGATCCAGTCATCAAGCCAGAACTTCTGGAGAGCTTGGAGCCGGAGACGTCCTCGTCCCCCACAGCCAGCCGATGACCTGAACCTCCTCAGGCTGGCTGGGACTCTTACAAAGAACATCTTCTGTTCTTGTGGGCTTCTGTCTCGTGAGCCGGGTTTATTATGACGGCGAAGGAGGGACTTTAGAAGAATCTGGAAAAGATTCAACGCTTTCCTGTTTCACCCCAGAGCTGGAAGCGAGCGCCTGGCCTTGGATGCCTCCTCCTCCTCCTCGTCCTCAAGGGTCCACAGATTTTACTGTTGCGTTGCAGCAGGCGGTGATAGAAAAATACTCACCGTGTGGATTTCAAAGTAACACATAAAGTAGAGTTTGTTTTTTTGTTTTTTTGTCACAGTGACTAACAAGTGTAGTCAAAGCACTGATTTTATCCTGGAGGTGAATAGATGTGCAGCTGGTGTGTGTTTAAAGCAGAACTCTTCCTGGTTCTCCTCTGTCCGCCGTAACAATGTGTTGTATGTTATGACTTAATTATCCATAATAGATCCCCCATTTGGCTCTTATCCTTTGGACAGCTGCAGCACTTTGATGCCAGCAGCTGCAGCACGTGTCTGTGTGTGGAAATGCTCAAGCAGCTGGAGGGTTTTATCTCATTTGTGTTTTGTTTAGTTTTGCAATACATGGTGACACGTTTTATCTCTGAATCCAAGAGTTTTGAGTTTTTTGCCAATTTTTTACTTTGTTTTTTAGGGGTATTTATTAAGGCGAGTCCTGGGTCCATCCTGATAGATTCCCTTTTCCAACCTGCCAGGATCGACAGCAAACCTGCCACCAGGAGGCGCTCTTCAGATGAAACCCATCAGTCAGAGGAGAGTTGTGGTCTGTCTCCTATGGTCTGTGTCTCCTATGGTCTGTGTCTCCTGGTGGTCTGTGTCTCCCGGTGGTCTGTGTCTCCTAGTGGTCTGTGTCTCCTAGTGGTCTGTGTCTCCTGGTGGTCTGTGTCTCCTAGTGGTCTGTGTCTCCCGGTGGTCTGTGTCTCCTGGTGGTCTGTGTCTCCTGGTGGTTTGTGTCTCCCGGTGGTCTGTGTCTCCCGGTGGTCTGTGTCTCCTGGTGGTCTGTGTCTCCCGGTGGTCTGTGTCTCCCGGTGGTCTGTGTCTCCTAGTGGTCTGTGTTTCCCGGTGGTCTGTGTCTCCTGGTGGTCTGTGTCTCCTGGTGGTCTGTGTCTCCCGGTGGTCTGTGTCTCCTAGTGGTCTGTGTCTCCCGGTGGTCTGTGTCTCCTGGTGGTCTGTGTCTCCTGGTGGTCTGTGTCTCCCGGTGGTCTGTGTCTCCCGGTGGTCTGTGTCTCCTGGTGGTCTGTGTCTCCTGGTGGTCTGTGTCTCCCGGTGGTCTGTGTCTCCTGGTGGTCTGTGTCTCCTAGTGGTCTGTGTCTCCCGGTGGTCTGTGTCTCCTGGTGGTCTGTGTCTCCTGGTGGTCTGTGTCTCCTGGTGGTCTGTGTCTCCTGGTGGTCTGTGTGTGCGTTCATATTGTTTGGTAGACTAGTGGCAACAGTCTGGCTTCATATCAGGCAGTAAGTGGAAAAATCTGTTTTTGCCCGACAATGTAAAAACACAAAATCCTATGGAGGAGTTTTGGTCTAGTGGCGAATAATCAGTTCACTTGAAATAAGACAAAAACTGACTTAAAACTAACTTTAAGCAGAAAAGGAGCTTTTTTAAGTCAGTACTTCATTATTATTTCATTAACAAATGATTTCACTCATAATGAGACATTTTTCCTAATTGATAAGTGAAATGGAACAAAGATTTATTTATTTAGTTTTTGTCAGTATTAAATTATTGTTGATTTAAATCCTGCTGCATATTTTGCTGAAAAGCTTCTTGCAAGTCATTTGCGTCTCTTTTCATCTGTACCGACATGTTTGCAGTAAAAACTGAACCGACAGCAGATGTTGTGTTTTTGCAGTGCAGCCGCGTCTCGTCTGCATTAGAAACGCCGAACAAAACCCGACGGATGTTCTGGGTGGATGAGGGTCGACCTGTTTCCGGTTCCTTCTTGTTCTTTTATTCAGTTTCATTTTTTCTGTTTTTTTTTCTCTAAAACCAGGCGGTGGGCAGAGAGTCGCTCCAGCTCCTCATCATTTGTGGGACTAAAAGGTTCTGTCTCATTTTAACATCCCAAAATACCAAAATACCCCAAAAATCAAAGTCAAATTAGAATTTATTTAATGTAACGATTTGCATACATTTACCTTGGGAACATTTTTAATCGATATTTCCAAGACTGAACGATCCAAGCAGCAGCTAAAAGCCAAATAAATCAGTTAAGATGTACTTAACAAAATTAGCTGCATTATAAATGATTTATGAAACACAATAAAGGAACTCATCTAATATAAATTAATCGGGTCGTGACTCAGACTTTCATCAGGCCAGTCGATGCTCAATATTTCCACACTGTAAAAAAAACTAACACTTTCTCAGCGTCTGATAATAATAATAAAATACAGAAATATAGAACATTTCTTGCCGTCCTGCTGACTCTCATTTTCTCATTTTTAAAGTTTGTAAATTATGAAGCTAAATTGAAAGCCAGCTACTTTCTTTTAATTTTTTGATTTTGGCATTTTATTTATTTTTGTTGGCGCAGGTGTTGCGTTCCGCCCTGCAGCTTTTAGATTTGGGTTTAAATCTAAATAACTCGTAGGGATGTGAACTCAGAGAGCTGCAGAGACAGGAAGCTGTCTGACTGGAGAAAGGGAAGTCCATTTAGAATAAATAAATATTTTGAATGAAT